TCAGACAAATGGCTGTATAATTCTTCTTAAAAGCCTCCAATGATGGGGCACCCACAGCTTCTGAAGGCAAGCCATTTTTTTGCCAGTTTTTCATCATGTCTTCTGCTAGTTGGAATTATGTTGGGCTATATTGATCGTAGAATGTAAAACAGCGTTAACTGCTGGAGTTCTAATCACTTTATCCGTTCCCAATGAATCTTGCTAAAGGGACTCGGACACCTGAGCTTGCAAAAAATCATTTTTAGATTTTGGTGGCTGCAAAGATATTAAATCAGGGATAGGAAAGCCCACAAATTTGTTTCCAAATATTGTCTACTTTTCCCAGCATTCCTCTCCAGCTGGCTGTGCCAGTTTGGGAATTGTGGTCTACTAGGATTAGAAGGGGGGCATTGTTTCCCAACTGCCCCCCCCCAGCCTTTCTTCCTGTGCAGTTCTTTAATCTTTTCCTGCAGCTCAGTTCTTGCTGGGTTCCCAAACGCCCCCAATGTTCTTCCCATTTATTTTCTGTTCCACTTTCTCCTTTTGACATTCAGATTTCACCTACCGGATCCCAGAAGATCAGATCACTGGGATTTCCACAATCCCCATACAACCCATCGGCTTTGAGGATGCCAAGGAACTGATCTGGTGGGTATCAAATCAAATACATGGAAGCCCTTCATAAGCAGAGCACAGATGGGTTATATCAGGGATCTCCAAACATGGCCACTTTTGAGATGTGTGGACTTCAACTCCCAGAATTCCCCAGCCAGCATGGCTGGTTGGGGAATTCTGGGAGATGAAGTCCACACGTCTTAAAGTAAGGTTTTACATTTAGGCCAGAAAAAACAAATGTACAGGAACAGATCAGATGAAACCTGGCTCAAAAACAGTAACTGTGAGAGGGACCTTGGTGTCCTAATGGACCATCACTTAAACAAGAGCCAGCCGTGTGCAGCAGCAGCCAAAACAGCTAATACAATCCTTGGTTGTATAAACACAGGCATAGAATCAAAATCACATGAAGTATTAGTCCTGCTTTATAAAGCCTTAGTAAGGCCACACCTGGAACACTGCATCCAGTTTTGGTCACCACATTACAAAAAAGATATTGAGAGTTTGGGGAAAAAAACAGAGAAAAGCAATTAAGATGATCCAAGGCCCGGAGACTAAAACATACAAAGAACGGCTGCAGGACTTGGGTTTGTCTAGTCTAAAGAAAAGAAGAAATAGGGACTGCGCCAAAGAAGAGGGGGCCAACCTATTCTCCAATGCACCAGAAGGCAGGACAAGAAACAACGGATGGAAACTGATCAAGGAGAGAAGCAATCTGGAATTAAGGAGAAACTTCCTAACGGTGGAACAGCTTCCCTCCAGAAGTTGTGGGTGCTTCATCACTGTAGGCTTTTAAGAAGAGACTGGACAGCCATTTCTCTTTTGAACAGGGGATTGGATTAAAAGATCTCCAAGGTCCCTTTCAATCTTCTTATTCTATGCTGTATGTTCTAAGACTTGATGTAAGAAAGAGAGTGACCCATTGTGACTTCTGGTTATTTTTCTCCTTGGAGAATTAATCCAGCTTTTGTGCTTTCTTTGTTTCTCGGTTTGCAGTAACCTTGGCGGACCCAAAGCAGGGGCTGGCTGGCAAGGGGCCCTGGGCTGTGATTACCACCTTGGGCCCGGATTCCAAGGAAATGGGAGCTTTCCTAACACCAGGTAGTCACAGCTACGAGAACTTAAATGGGGGGGTATCTCAAGAAGCTGGAATGGGTAGGGTGAGATGGACTTCCCCCCCCCAAATTAGTTGCGTGTGTCCCATTGCAATTGATCAAAGCCAGATTTCTTTGCATCCTAGCAACGTCCAAGTGGATGTCTACAACCAGAGAGAGATCAAACCATCTTCCAACGTCCTGGGGGTGATACGAGGGAGCGTGGAACCAGGTGAGCTACTCTCCCCTCCTCATTTCCATATTCTGGATCCTGGAAGTGGCTTTAACCTGCAGGCTTTATTCTCTCAACCTCATTTGCTTCGGGCTGCAAATCTTTTCCCGAACCAAGTCAAGATAGTCCTCAACGTACAGCCACAACTGAGCCCCAAACTTCTGCTGCTAAACGAGACAGGTGTTAAGTGAGTTTTGCCCCATTTTAAGACCTTTCTTGCCACAGCTGTTAAGTGAATCACTGCAGTGGTTAGGCTAGCCACACGGTTAGTGAGTCTGGCTTCCCTACTGATTTTGATTGTCAGAAGGTCGCAAAACGGGATCACACTGCAACCATCATAAATATGAACCAAGTGTCTGAATTATGATCATGTGACCAGGGGGATGCTGTGCAACAGTCGTAAGAGTGAAAAACAGTCACAAGTCACTTTTTTTTACAGTGCCGTTGTAACTTTGAATGGTCACTAAGTGAACCGCTGTAAGTCAAGGACTTGCTGCACAAAGTTTGCCTGAAAGACGGGATTTGTTTAATGACATGCTAGGGACCGCCTTGATAACAAACACTTGCATTTTGTTTATGTTCGTATGGTTTGAGTCAGTGTTGACTCCTGGCAATTAAACCTTGCTGTCCTGGATTAAACTGCAGAAACGTTGTCCTTCTAATAGTTTTCTTAACAAAAAAAAAAAGAGTGCTTTTGGAGCTTTTGAAGAGAAGTTTAAGTTCCTCCAGTTTTCGAGGCAAGAAAGCAGAGAAGATGTGTAGCTGAAGGTTGAACTGTGGGGTCCTTGCTGCTCTCAGAGCTTGGTGGTTTGCTTGTAGACATTTCATTACCAAAGTAGGTAACACCATCAGTGCTATGTGATCAGAGCTAGCACTGATGATGTTACCTAACTGAGTAATGAAATATCTTGGCAAGCTCTCAGAAATGATTTGACCAATTTGCCAATAGATTTGAAGTGTGAATTGGGCATGTTGGTGGAGGTGGTGGTGATGGGGATTCACGTTTACTTGTAAGGTGCTCGTTGCCCTTTCTATTAAGCGAATCCTCTGGTCCTACGTTCTGTCAGAGGAATAATTTTGGAGTTCCAGCTCAAGCCGGGGTTACACAAGAACAAATCAAAATGAAGTCCAAACAACTGTGAGGAAAGGAGAGTTATTTATTTCCAAAAGCAAGGAGGTTTGCTTGTGGGGGTAGCTACAGAGAAAATGAGGTTCAAATGGGCTGTTTTATAAGGGGAGCTTGTCCTTGATGGTGTGGAAGTGTGCACATGTTGATTCTAGGGTGTCACTTGAGAGGTGTAGGTGTGTTTGTGTATATGTGTTGACTCCTGTTAGAAATTCTGTTTATATGAAGCACCACACAGATTAAACAAAGAGAACAGTCACCATGTGCTTTACTGCTGAACTATTTAACTGTAACAGGAAACTCTACTCAGAACAAAAGAGCACAGAGTATACTATAGATCCAAATATGTAAATACTGCCATCTACTGGCTGAATATTATTATAGTTGTTGCATAGAAATACATTCCAACAATGAATTCCAACAACCCTGGAGGAGCGGTTGATTAAATCAAGGGATGTGGATTGGCTCTCTTTGTTTGAACTTTGAGCGTTATAATTATGTTTATACCATGTTAATTGAATTTTGTTTGCTTGTGTGTCTTTAAATTTGAAATAAGTGTTTAATTAATTCTTATGATTGCTGTAAGTTTAAAGGGTTTCAGAGGCTATTAATCAGTAAATTTCTTGGAGACCTGGGTTAGTTAACATATGATTCCCTATACAATATGTCTAACAGAGTTATATAATTTTTTTTTTATTAAAAGTTTTACAAATTACAATATAAACCCATCCATCCCCTCCCCCTCCCCCACTTCCCAGAGCTGATTACAGGGTAACAAATAAACAAACATACTCTAGCTAACATAAACCAACTAAACTATCAATCAAAACCATAATACACTTTAACTCCTTCTCAAAACAAATATTAACAAATTAAGACAAAAATAATAATACCATTAATACTATTAATAATTATCTAAAATCTATTCAAAAGCAAGATAATACTTTTCAGTTTCATACTTGAGAGTTATATAAATTTATAGGTTCTTCCCACAATTCTCTCGTAGTTTCCTCTACAACTACTTGTTTTTCCTCCTCCTTTTCTAGATAGATACGTCCTGTATGGGAACCACCGGGATAGTTGGGTTCATGGAGCCATCGACCCTAGCAGTGGAACAGCTGTCATGCTTGAAATCACCCGTATTTTGGGGAAGATGGTGAAGGAAGGTGAGCTTGCACGTGAGGGAGAAGGGTGGTTTTAAAAAGTAACTAATAAATAAATAAATTTCCTGGAAAAAAATTTAGTGAAATCTCCTTCACCTCTGACCCACATTTGGATGGAGAATTTGAGAAAGGTGTAATGGTGTATGTGAATGACCTTGGGAGACCAGGGGAAGAGATGCCGCCAGAGGAATTGACAGATAAGAGATAGCTTTATAACGGGAGAAGAAAAAGGCTCAGAAGAAACCCTCCCAAGCTATAAAAGAGGCGGCAAGAGATTTGTACTTTCAGACTTACAAGATTCGATTAATGTAGCTTTAGGAAACAGTCGGATAAGAGACAGTTTAGCCCTCGGCTGCATAACGGATGGAGAGTCTCCGAAGGGACCCTTCCCAGTTTCTCAAGCTGTAAAGCAGTGGTTCTCAACCTTTTTAATGCCGCGAGCCCCAACTGGTCGTAAGTCGAGGACTACTCAACCGGTCGTAAGTCGAGGACTACTCAACTGGTGCAGCACCGTTTGCAAAATGGGACTTTTGGCGGGCTCAGCAGGGCAGAGACGGCCTGGACAATTCCTATTGGCTTTGGAAAGCCAATAGAATTAGACTCTATTCAAGAGAATCTACTCTATTGGTTTTCAAAAGCCAATAGAATAAAAGGGAGTAGCACAGCTAAGGAAAAGGGGGGGAAAAATGGCGGACTGCGTTGTTTGGCGACCCCCGTGAAATGGTCGTTCGACCCCAAATGGGGTCCCGACCCACAGGTGGAGAACCACTGCTGTAAAGGGTGGGGGTGTGATTTGTATTTTCAGATTTACAAGATTCTGCTAGTGTAGCTTGACAGTAAACTAGAATTAGCTCATCTGGTTATGACTCCCGCCTGGTCTAGCTCGGAGGGTTGACTGAAGAAGTTTCCCTTCTAACTTCTTTCTCCATCCATTATGCAGCTCTGGGCCATGCTTCCTTTTATCCGACTGTTTCCTAGCCAGCATCGTTTTCCCTGGTCTTCCGAGGTCATTGCCCTGTCTGGAATTACATGAAACCCAGACGGGCTGAAGAAATAGGACATCCCTAACCCCTGCCTCCAGCATTCCTAGCCTTCTTGGCTGAGGATGATGGGAACTGTAGTTTCTCATCTTGAGCAGCTGGATAGGTCAAGTTTCTTGCTGGGATGCATCCAGTCTTTTCCCAGTCTTGCACATCTCATGAAGGGATTGAGAATTCAGTCTAGGACAGTGGTTCTCAACCTTTTTAATGCTGTGACCCCAACTGGTTGTAAGTCGAGGACTACCCAACCGTTGTAAGTCTACACAACTGGTCGTAAGTCAAGGACTTTCCCTGCCCGGGAGCGCTGCGCATGCGTGGTGCCGCCCCCTACACTGGCTGAGGCATAGCTGGCAAGCGGCAGAGACGGCGCAGGCCGACCACCGGCTGGGCCACCAGCTGGCCCAGCCCAAGGGAGGTAAGGCACCTGCCGGGCCCCACGCGCACCAGCAACCTCCCTGCACCCACCAGCCTCCCACCTCCCACCCCTGGCCCTCTTTTACTTACATTTTTAGTAGTTGCTCAGCAGGGAGGGGTGGAAACTTCCAGACAGCTCGCCTTCGCTGCAGACAACTTGCAGCACCGTTTGCAGAATGGGACTTTTGGCGGGCCAATAGAAAACCAATAGAATTAGACTCTGTTCAAGAGAGTCTATTCTATTGACTCTCAAAAGCCAATCGAATAAAAGGGAGGAGCACAGCTAAGGAAAAGGGGGGAAAAATGGTGGACTGCGTTGTTTGGCGACCCCCATGAAATGGTCGTTCGACCCCAAATGGGGTCCCGACCCACAGATTGAGAACCACTGGGCTAGGCGTTGTCTTCCCACCTCTTCTCATCACACAGGGAAGTGGCGCCCACGGAGAACCCTCGTTTTTGGCAGCTGGGGTGCTGAAGAGTTCGGCCTCATCGGCTCGACAGAGTACACAGAGGTAAAACGAGCCGAGCCGTGTGGAGATGCACCCTGTCGGTTTCTTCAGCACGGTTCAAATTAGCTGAGCTTTTATGTGGTTTCCCCCGGTTCTTCGCACAGCCTCAATCGATCGGTTGGGATGATTAATGTGGCTTAGCCTGTGATTCAGCCTGTGATTCAGCGAGTCGTGCAAATCGTGGAAATTGGGTTAATTTAGTCCAGTGGTTCTCAACCTTTTTAATGCCGTGACCCCCCAACCGGTCATAAATCGAGGACTACACCGGTCGTAAGTCGAGGACTACTCAACGGGTGCAGCACCGTTTGCAGAATGGGACTTTTGGGGGGCTCAGCAGGGCAGAGACAGCCTGGACAATTCTTATTGGCTTTTGAAAGCGAATAGAATTAGACTCTATTCAAGAGAGTCTAGTCTATTGGCTTTCAAAAGCCAATAGAATAAAAGGGAGTAGCACAGCTAAGGAAAAGGGGAAAAAATTGGCGGACTGTGTTGTTTGGCGACCCCCGTGAAATGGTCGTTCGACCCCAAATGGGGTCCCGACCCACAGGTTGAGAGCCACTGATTTAGTACAAGCGATTCAATATACTGCGAATTAACCATGAATCTACTTCTCCCTTCTTTCTGGGGCACATGCAATGAAATTGCAGAATTCTGGAGGTGCCATCAACCAGAGAAAGAGTGAAAAAATTCTTGATGGCGCTTCATCCCCTGGATCTTCTAATTAAGAAAAGAAATAGCTTTCTTGAATGTTTTGTTATGACTATTATGACATTTATTATGATATGCGTCAGTGATATAGTTTGATTGTCGTGCTGTTTCGCCCTTGACTTATAACCACAATTTAGATCCAAAGGTCACAAATGTGAGCACATGACCCCAGGATGCTGCAAAGTTGTAAATACATGCCTGTTTCAAACAGCCAAACTTTGATCATGTGACCGTGGGGATGCTGCAGCGGTCATAAGTGTGAGGACCAGTCATAAGTCCATTTTTTAAAACAGTGTTGTAAGTTGAAACAGTTGCTAAATGAATGGCTGTAAAAACTGAGGGCTATTTGTAAATCTTAACTATGTTATATATTATTTCACTCTTAAAGAATAGCTACCTTGATCATTTGGTATCTTCTGGATGTTTGGGGCTCCCAAGGCCATCAGCCCCTGCCAGTATGAAATGGCAAGGGATTGTGGACACTGTAGTCCAAAACATCTGGAGGGCACTGAATCCTCTCTTATTCTCTCTCACTCGTAGGAATTTTTCAGCAAACTGCAAGAGAGGAGCGTGGCCTACATCAACGTGGATATTGCCGTCTTTGGTAAGCTTCTCATATTTTGTACAATCAGGATTGTGGGTTGGCTATTTTCAGTGGTCCCAGGTGTCAACAATTTCAAAATGGCAACCCTAAAGGTCCATGCAAAATTCTGTCTGTTTTTTTTATGGAGACTCAATCATGGTTTTGCTTGGAAAATGGGTAGAGCTGCAGTCACACTAGTGGCTCCCCCCCCCCTTGAATTTTTGGTCCATACTCTATAAGCAAGAGTCTCCAAACTTGGCAATTTTAAGACTGATGGACTTCAACTCCCAAAATTCCCCAGCCAGCCGTGATGTCTGGGGAATTCTGGGATTTGAAGTCTACCAGTCTACTGTTTCCTTCAGTAGCGTGTTTTGGACTCTTAAAAAAAACAACAATATTAATTCTATTGTCAGAATTCTCTGCAGCTGAAAATCACTGCAGTTTTTCTGTACCGCCTGCCTCAAAAGAGCAGAAAAAATAAGGTCACCAGCTTAATTTTATTTTTGAATGAAATTGAATCAAATCTATAAATGTAGGCAGGGAGTGAGAGAGAGTCCTCATCCTGTGCTTCTCGCAAAAGACCGTTCACATCTCAGGAGCCTAAACATAGTCCTTGACTTACGACCACAATTGAGCCCAATATTTCCATTGCTAAGCGAGACAGTTATTTGACGAACTTTCTTGTCATAGTTGTTAAGTGAATCTTGCAGTTGTTACATTAGTAACACGGTTGTTAAATGAATTTGGCGTTGCTTGTAAGGAATTTACAAAAAGGGATCATGTGACCCCAAGACACTGACACCGTCCTAAAGACGAGTCAGTTGCCAAGCGTCCAAATTTTGATCATACGGCCATGGGGGATGCTGCAATGGTTGTAAGTGGGGAAAATGGCCACAAGTCCCTGTTTTCAGTATTTTAACTTTGAATGGTTACTAAACAAACGGCTGTAAGTCACCAACCGCCTGTATTCATTCTATTGTCAGAATTCTCTGCAGTTGAAAATGAGTGCCGTTTTTCTGTGTCGTCTGCCTCAAAATAGAACAAAAAGGCTCACCAGCTTCATTTTATGAATTAAATTACATTCATAATTGTGGGCAGGGGGAAAGTGGACCCCACCCCACCCTTGTGCTCAGTTATGAGAAGCGTAACCCTTCAAGCATCTTCTAATGCAAGGATTTTCAACCACTGGTATAGGTACCACCTGTGGTGCATTGGCACCTGGTAGGTGGTACATGACCATCCTAGAAAAGTGGTAGCGGGGAGGGGAATGAGCTGAACCGGAGGCAGCACTGCACAAGCCTGAGCGAGAGACAGCTGGAGCTGCAGGGCTGTCGGGGCTCAACAAAAGCACCAGGATCAGTGCCAGGCTCCACCTGGAGCTCAGCGCCGATCCTGATGCTTCTGCTGAGCCCAGAAGAAGCGCCGATCAGCTGGAATGTTGCAGCATTTCCAGGGTCTTGTGATTTACATTCAGATGCTTGGCAACCGATTCATATTTATGACAATCACAGTGTCCCAGGGTCATGTGAAGTGACCAAAACCTGCTGCAACCACCCAGCAGATGGGGGGGGGGAATAAAAACCAAACACCCCCACCCCACCCCCGCTGCCAATCCTCAACAGAAATGCTCACAACAATGAAAACCTTGGACAGGAGGAAGAGCACAGCCGGGCGGGCAGGCAGGTGTCTTGCTCGGCTGTGGTTTGGGGGGGGCACTTTTTCAGTGCCATTGTAACTTCGAACAGTCACTAAGTGAACTGTTGTAAGTCGAGGACTACCTGTACTTTATCACTTTTTTCCCTTTTTTTTTTTTTGGTCATCAGGTTTTTGACACCTTGCTAGGCGACTGGTGGTACTCGGATGTCGCCATATCCTAAAAGTGGTACAATGGGTGAAAAGGTTGAAAAGCTCTGATCTAATGCTCAGTTTCTCCTTCCCCAGCTAATGCCACGCTGAGGGTCCAAGGGACGCCCCCAGCCCAAAATGTCATTTTTGCAGCTGCTCAGCAGGTAAGTGGAGAAGCTGAGGGAAAAAGGCAAACTGCTAAAATACAGTTGTGCCCCGCTTGGTAACAAAAGCCTGGGAGTCCCTGGCTGGCTGGGGAATTCTGGGAGTTGAAATCCACCCGTCTTAAAGCATGCTGGCTGGGGAATTCTGGGAGTCGAAGTCCTGTTCTATGACATGAATCAAAATGCCTTTATAATTCAATTACAGACAGATAAACTCAAACAAAGATGATTGCAAAACATATACTTTAATCAAGGAATACTGATGAACTCAGGGTCTCTTGGTAGTTTCTTCTGAATATTGTACATTTGTCCATCTTTATTAGGTAAAACCATTAATTTCTCCACATCAGACTTCTAGCGTGAATAAGGACCACCTCTGTGTCCTCCGTTGAGCCCATGCTTATCTCAGACAAAGACATTCCAAACTGGCCCGTGGCCAGGATATCCTGTGATGAGCTTAGAGGCTCCTCCTAACCTCCTACTACTGACCTGTTAACATGGGATAGCTGACTAGCTAAAACTACATTACTCATAAGCCATCTCTTAAGGAGACAGCACTTAACCCAATAAATGCCAAACATTCTAACATACAGATCTACATGCTCTAGTCAGGGTTACATGATCCAGAACAAGTCCACCCATCTTGAAGCATGTCAGCTGGGGAATTCTGGGAGTCAAAGTCCACCCATCCTGAAACTGCCAAGAATGAGAAACACTATGTGCAGGAATTTGAAAACCAGATTTCTTTTCCTCCCCACCCAAATAGATTTCTTCTCATTAGTTGGAGAGCACTATCATATTTAAAAATATGTGTCAGAATCCAATTATATTTCATCTCTAGTTATCAACTATGGAAAACCCCATTTCTGCCCTCTCTGGATTCTGTCATATGATGAAGGGGAAGGGGGGTGAGCAAAGGGGTTTTAGGGCCCTCACTTCCTTCGTTACAACTTCAAAGGGACTGGATGTGGATCTCACCCAGAGAACTGACCATAACAATATGGCCATCACCTTTCATCTACTCCTCTCTGAAGTCTTCCTTCTGCCGGTCAAGAGGAAAAGGGGGTGGAAATGTAACACCTGGGATTGTCGCTGGAAGGACGGTGGGGTGGGGGCTGCTTGGGAACATTTAAAACCTTGAACCTTAGGGCTTGGGCCCTCAGATCCTGTCTAGAACGCCTGCAACCATTTTCTCTTAATAAAGATGCCTGTTGGAAGAAATATTCCAAGAGTTCTGTCTTCTTAAGATGCAAAGTGGGGTGGGTCCTTACATTATGCCAGTTTTGCACCCTCTTTTAAGAGATCCTTTCTGTTTAGGTCAAGACCCCAGCAGACGCTTCACTGTCAGTCTATGAAAACTGGAAACGCCACTTCAGCAGAAATAGCTCGGTCTACGGAATAATCCCCAGGTAAAAGGGTGTGTGTGAACAGAATAGAATAGAATAGAATAGAATAGAATAGAATAGAATAGAATAGAATAGAATAGAATAGAATAGAAAAGTTGGAAGGTATCTTGTAGGTCATCTAGTCTAACCCCCTGCTCAAGCAGGTTTCCTGCTTCCTTGTCACAGTTCAGCAGAAAGCACGTGTGAACGTGCACTGTTTGTTCTGTAGGGCTATATACAGAATTTCTAACAAGACTTCATCGTCTCTCTCTCTCACACACACACACACACATACACACAAAGACGCAAATGTACAGATAACAAAATGAATCAACGTTTTCATTTTGTCCGAACACAACCACTAGCTTTCTAAGGCCACACACTCTGCATTGGCACAAAGCCATGAAGTAATTTTATTTTCTAGGTAGACCAGAACTGAACATGATCCAGTCTGGTGAGCCCCTTGGAAAGGAGACCACCAAGAAACCCCCAAACCCAAGCCAGAAAAGTCTAATGGGTGCCCATAAAACCCCCCAGGACTTGATCTCGGTACCAAGGGAGAGAGTCCCCTTCTTCAACCTGTTGCCCCATAAACAAACCAAACCATTTGGGTTCGCACCATCAAGCCAACCAAGGTTAAAATGAACCCAGTTTCTCAAGTGACGGCAATGCAGCCTCAGTTCTTGAAATGTTCTGTGCAAACTCAGCTGGGTTTTTGTTTGCTCTTTGCAGCTTAGGGTCCCTGGGGGCTGGAAGTGATTTTGCTCCTTTTATCCACTTTCTGGGCATCACCGCGATGGATATCGCTTACACTTACGATCGGGTGAGTCTCTGGGGCACACTGGCGGGGGGGGGGAAATCTCTTGCACACCAAGAAGGGGGGGGCTGAGGGCAGAAATGGAGGAGGCCAGAGAGAACAAGAGCTGAGCTGAACTTTAATTAGTTTGCTTTGGTTAAATAAGAAACAGGCGGTGGAATTCACACAAACACACACACACACACACACACGTATGTCACATGTCCCCCCCACATTCGAGCACCTGGACAATAAAAATTGGAAATTAGGAAAAATACGATGCGCATAGTCCTTGACTTATGACCACAATTTCCATGACTCAGCAAAACCATTGTTAAGCGAATTTTGCCCCATTTTACAAGCTTTCTTGCCACAGTTGTTAAGTGAATCATTTGGTCGTTAAGCGAATCTGGCTCACTTAATAACTCACTTAATAACTGCCCTGCTTGGGATCAGAAAGGTTGGGCTCAATTGGGGTTGTAAGTCAAGGATTGCCTGTAATTCTATCTTGTGCTTTACTGCGCTGAAAAATCGTGGAAGTCGGATTTTTTTTAATTTTCCTTTCCCTTTCCTTTCTCTCTGCTTCTTTTTCCTTTTATTTGCACTTGTATTTTATATATCATAATTTCAATAATTTTTTTTTTAAAGATGTTAAATTTCCTGCCTGAGCAGGGGGCTGGACTAGATGACCTCCAAGGTCCCTTCCAACTTCTATTCTATTCTATTCTATTCTATTCTATTCTATTCTATTCTATTCCCTGTTCTGTTCTATTTTGTTCTATTCTATTCTATTCTGTTCCATTCCATTTTCTATTCTATTCTATTCTATGACTACAACTGAACCCAAATTTTATGTTTTTAAGTGAGACATCCATTGACTTTTGCCCCATTTTACGACATTTTCTTGCCACTGTTGTTAAGTGAATCCACTGCAGTTGATAAATTTGCAAACTGGTTGTTAAGTGAATCTGGCTTCCCCATTGAAGGTCGCAAAAGGACCAGGACACTACGACCGTCATAAATATGAAGCAGTTGCCAAGCATTTGAATTTTGATCACATGACCCTGGGGATGCTGCAAAGGTTGTAACTGTGAAAAACGGTCGCAAGTCCCTTTTTTCAGTGCCCTTGTAAACTTTGAACGGTCACTAAACAAACCGTTGTAAAGTCGAGGACTACCTGTATTCTGTATTCTGCATGATAGCCAACCTTTCCTTTAAGGCAGTGGTTCTCAACCTTTTTAATGCCGCGACCCCCAACCGGTCATAAGTCGAGGACTACTCAACCGGTCATAAGTCGAGGACTACTCAACCGGTCGTAAGTCGAGGACTATTCAACTGGTGCAGCACCGTTTGCAGAATGGGACTTTTGGCGGGCTCAGCAGGGCAGAGACAGCCTGGACAATTCCTGTTGGCTTTGGAAAGCCAATAGAATTAGACTCGATTCAAGAGAGGCTATTCTATTGGCTTTCAAAAGCCAATAGAATAAAAGGGAGGGGCACAGCTAAGGAAAAGGGGGGGGGGAATGGCGGACTGCGTTGTTTGGCGACCCCCGTGAAATGGTCGTTCGATCCCAAATGGGGTCCCGACCCACAGGTGGAGAACCACTGCTTTAAGTCTTGCTTAAAGTCTTAAAAAGGGAGCATCTCCTAGTGCTCCTGGGCTGAGCTCAAGAAAAGCAGGTGGATGGGGCACCACATGGAAATCACAGCTGAAAGTTGGAAAAAGATTCTGGAAAGCCAGCTAACCCATCACAACGGGTCTTCTCTTCTTTCCACTTTTTTTTTGTTCAGAGCAAAACGTCAGCGCGCATTTACCCGGCCTACCACACGGCCTTTGACACCTTCGACTACGCAGACCGATTTATCGATCCAGGTAACGAATGGTGGGCGGCGGGACAGGCAGACCGCAAGGCTACCGTTTTTATTTCTTCGTTTCATTTATTTGTATCCCCCCTTTATTGTTTTGACCAGTCAAGATGGCAAAGAGATCCAATACACCTTCCCCCGCCTATTGTCCCTAGAACAACTCACCGTCTCCTGGCGATTGGCCCAAAGTCACCCAGCTGGCTTTCATGCCTAAGGCGGGACTCGAACTCACCGTCACCTGATGATTGGCCCAAAGTCACCCAGCTGGCTTTCATGCCTAAGGCAGGACTAGAACTCAGAGTCTTCTGGCGATTGGCCCAAAGTCACCCAGCTGGCTTTCATGCCTAAGGCAGGACTAGAACTCACCGTCACCTGGCGATTGGCCCAAAGTCACCCATCTGGCTTTCATGCCTAAGGCAGGACTAGAACTCACCGTCACCTGGTGATTGGCCCAAAGTCACCCAGCTGGCTTTCATGCCTAAGGCAGACAACACCCACCGAAAGCTGGTGGAGCTCCGATGGCCGCCATCTTGCCTTTTTTGACACGACCGGGGTATATTACTGGCTGCGAGCTTCTCAAACACCCCAGTCAGTCTCCCCTCTCTCTGCAGGCTTCACCAGCCACCGGGCCGTGGCGCAAACGGCTGGCAACGTCCTGCTGCGCTTGGCGGAGTCCTTGATCTTGCCTCTCAACGTGAGCAACTATGGGGAGACGTTGCAAGCCATGTACGACACAGCCGAGCGAGTGTTCCAGGTGGACCTCCTCAACCACAACATCTCCCTTGGTGAGGAGGGGAGGGCCGGCCTGCCTTGCAGGGCTGTCGTACGGAGACGCAGCAAGGAAGGCGATTGCACTGCTTCACGCTTTTCTCCAAACTGAACTCTGATCAACAGCTGTGAATGCAGCCTTTAGATGCCCCTTCAAATATCTTCCAGGTTGTCACTCAGAAGAGGGGGGTGGGCTTACTCTCGGTGGCCCCAGCAGGCAGGATGAGGACTAGTAGGCTTGCTCTGAATAGGGTGTGTGTGAAATAGATGATCTCTGGTGTTCCCTTTCCTCTCTGTGGCTTGAGACCAGCATCAGCTTTATGATGAACAACTATACCAGAGTGGAAATTGAAGTCCACGTATCTTTAAGCATGGCTGACTAAGGAATTCTGGGAGTTGAAGTCCACACAAGTCTTAAAGTGGCCAAGATTGGACACCCCTGCTATAAAAAAGATGTTGTGCCATTGCTGGTGGTATCCGTTGTCCCACAATTCAAGTTATTATATGTCAAGGAAGTTTAAAAGGCATTCATCTTTTTTTTTTTCTTCCTTTCTTCGCTTCTCGTCCATGCAGTCCCACTCCGCAATGCAGTTGTGCGCTTCCAGTCTGCAGCAGCCGACCTCAACCAGCGCATCGCAGGCTTGAAAAATGAAGACTCTCCCAGGTGATTTTTTTCCCCCCCATTTTTCTAATCCCATCCATACACATCCAGTAGTCCTTGACTTACAACAGTCCGCTTAGTGACCGTTCAAAGTTCCAACGTCACTGAAAAAAGCAACTTAATGACCGTTTTTCACACTTGCAAGTGTTGCAGCATCCCGAGGGTCATGGGATTGACATTAACTTTGAACCGTCACTAAACGAACTGTCGTAAGTCGAGAACTACCTATAGTGGGGTGATTGAGGCATGGAGGCAGCATATGATGTCCACACAAGGTGTGCAACCATCCTCGTCTCCAGGGCGGACTCGCAGCTGCTTTTCGTGGCCCGGTAGGAGGGGCCTCGTTGAAGCTCCACCCATATCTAGGCTGGAGAGACCAATGGGGATCCTGATCCCGCCCCTTCCGAGAGCTGATTCGTTCAAAAGTTCCACTGACTTTCAGACAAGTAGCTGTCAGTTTGATGTGGGAGGGCTAATTTTGGGGGGTGCCCCACCCCTAGATGCCCTGGGCTTTTGCCATATTGGGCCAGATGAGAATGAAACTGATGGTGATTTGCTTTTTGTGGCTTGTCAGGAAAAGAAGTCGGAATTTGAACACAGTAGAAGAAGAAATGGTCCAAAGTCTTGCTAAGCCATCTTTCTCACCACTGCAACTGATGACGGCTTAGCGTGGATGACCTCCCCCAAGCACCTTTTAGATCAATAGATTGGCTGAGTGCCCCCCCCCCCCACATTCAGAGTTTGCTTGGCTTAGCTCTAGAGGGCCTTTCCCCACTATTCTGCCCTGGAAACCATGAATAATGGCTTAGTGTATTCTGTGTTGTTTCCTGAACAAGCCACAGTTAAGCTTAGTGCAATGTGTGTGTAACCTCTCTCTCTCTCTCTCTCTCTCTCTCTCGTCCATCCCTGTCATCCATCTAGCCCTCTTGCTCTGCGGATGGTGAACGACCAGCTGATGTTGCTAGAACGGACATTTTTAAACCCACGAGCTTTCCCAGACAAATATTATTACAGGTAACTCAAGCCCCCACCTCATTTCTTTCATTTGGTCAGGCTGAGACTCCTAAGGTTGGATTCTGTCCAGTTCCAACGATTAATAGCCCATTGCTGCAGGCAGAGTCAAAAAAAATCAAGATGGTAGCTGTTCCAGTTCTCCTGCAATCTGAAATTACATGTCTTTCTTGACTTCTTCCTGTTTTTTCCCTTTCCTTTCCTTTCTCTCTCCTTCCTTCCTTCCTTCCTCCCTTTTTTTCATTTTCTTTTTCTAATTCCTCCCTATTTTGTTTTTCCTAATTGCTTCCTATTTTCCTTTAATGTGGAATAATAAGCAATCACTAGAATAATGATGTGTCTGCATAATTACTGGAATAATGCTGTGTTAGCAGTATGTGACTAACCTAATGCGCATTGCACTTGGATACAACGTATCTAGCAAACTCTCCATTGTATACCCGTGAGAAACGAACCTAATGTATTACAATGTGTATTACAATGTCTATTCCTTTGTTCCTGAGAAAAACAAAGTATAAAACTGAAGTCTAAACCCACCTTCCGGGTTCAGAATTGCTCGTTGCTATTGCTTCTGAACGTGTGCAATAAATCTCTCTGCTAAAACCCTCTGGAATTCATAAGAGTCCTTTTGTTTTCCACAAGACCTTCCTTCCTTCCTTCCTTCCTTCCTTCCTTCCTTCCTTCCTTCCTTCCTTCCTTCCTTCCTTCTTTCCTCCCTCCCTCCCTCCCTCTAATTTTGATAGGATCTGCCGAGTTTTGAACGAATTGGTGCAGCTGCCATCTTGACTTTTTTGCCCCTACTTAGTAGATACCTCTCCCTGCAGCAGCACTGTGTAATAGGAATTTATTGTAGCCTTTCAATGCCATTTCCATTTGGGTCTCTCTCTGCATCCGCAGTCACGTCATCTGGGCCTCCCAATCGTCGTCCGTGGCTACCTTCCCAGGCCTGGCCGACGCCGTGGTTGCTGCAAAAGAGCAGGGCAAGTGGGACCAGGTCCATAAACATCTAACGGTGGTTATCCAAGCGGTGGAAAACGCTGCCTCCTTTCTTGAACCCGTGGCCGAATGACCGGCATCCTCGTAGCCCTCGTGGGAAGCCTCAGTTATGAAAAGCCAGCTGTATGTCTTCTGAAGAAATAAAAGCTTCACACTTGATAAACCCTTTCTGAGCATTGGACGCAATTCTTTCGGGCTTCGCGCCTAGTAATACAAAACAGCCTTGCAAGGTAGGCTTAGGTTGCTGTGGGATCCTATTACAGGTGCAATTTCATTTAAAGCAGTGGTTCTCAACCTTTTTAATGCCGCGACCCCCAACCGGTCGTAAGTCGAGGACTACTCAACCGGTCGTAAGTCGAGGACTACTCAACGGGTGCAGCACCGTTTGCGGAATGGGACTTTTGGCGGGCTCAGCAGGGCAGAGACAGCCTGGACAATTCCTATTGGCTTTTGAAAGCCAATAGAATTAGACTCTATTCAAGAGAGTCTATTCTATTGGCTTTCAAAAGCCAATAGAATAAAAGGGAGGAGCACAGCTAAGGAAAAGGGGGAAAAAAATGGCGGACTGCGTTGTTTGGCGACCCCCGTGAAATGGCCGTTCGACCCCAAATGGGGTCCCGACCCACAGGTTGAGAACCGCTGCTTTAAAGGGAGCTTCACTTCAAGGGACCCACCTGTGGGGTTTCTTAGGCAACAATTTAGGGGTGGTTTGTTATTGCCATCTTGTGGAAGTGTTTTACTCTGTAGCTAAGGCTCTGGAATTTTTTGTGGTGTCAGTCAAGAACCAAGAAGCACTAACTGAAGTCAGTGACTTTATTATCTGGGGTTACAGGTAATCCGTGACTTACAAGAATTTACAAGAATTCATTTAGTGACCGTTCAAAGTTACAACAGCACTGAAAAAGCGACTTAGGACTGTTTCTCACACTTATGCCTGTTGCAGCATCCCCCAGGGTCACATGATCAAACTTCAGATGCTTGGCAACTGGCATGTACTTACGACGGTTGTGGTGTCCTGAAGTCACATGATCCCCTTTTTGTGACAAGCAAAGTCAACGGGGAAGCCCGATTCATCGAACGACCCTGTTACTAACTTAGCAGCTGCAGTGATTCGCTTAACAACTGTGGGAAGAAAGGTCGTAAAAATGGGACAAAATTCACTTAACGACTGTCCTATTTAGCAACGGAACTGTTGGGCCCAGTTGCGGTTATAAGTCGAAGACTATCTGTAACTGAGAAGTCTTCCTAATTATTTTTTTTTCCTGCATTACACTGATAAATTAATCCAACGTTCACACATCATGCTAAACCAATTTCCCCCACTATACTGGTAGTCCTTGATTTACAACCGTAATGGAGCCTGCTCATTAGGGTCGCAAGTGGTGACAGTCGTAAAGCAGATCACCCACCTGATTGACCTGATTTAATGACCTTTTTTTGCAGCAGTTATTAAGCTAACATGTAGCAGTCGTAAAGTGGGTCACTCACTGGGACCAATCTGATTTTACAAGTGTTTTCTGGCAGTCGTTCAGGGAATGTGGTGGTCGTAAAACAAAGCCATTGTTGTTCGCTATCAGGGCTTCTTTTGCCAAAAAGCAGAAGCAAAAATGTCATAAATTATAGTCACATCACTGAAGGGCACTGCAAAAGGCCTTAAAAGCAGTATTTATGGAAGTATTATATGGAAGTACATAAGTATTTATGCAATGTATGTTTTTACGTAAATATTTACGTAAGTATTTAAATATTGACATAAGTATTTCAGTGTTTATTAAGTATTTAAGTAAGACCACACTTAGAATGCTGCATCCGATTTTTGTCACTAAAATACAAAAAAGATGCTGAGACTCTAGAAAGAGTGCAGAGAAGAGCAACAAAGATGATTAGGGGGCTGGAGGCTAAAACATACAAAGAACAGTTGCAGGAATAGAGAAAAGAAGGACTAGGGGTGGCATGATAGCAATATTTGAAGGGCTGCCATGAAAACTTATTTTCCAAAGCATCAGAAGGCAGGAGAAGAAAGAATGGATGGAAACAAGGAGAGAAGCAACCTGGAATTAAGGAGAAACTTCCTAACAGTTAGAACAATTAACCAGTGGAACAACCTGCCTCCAGAAGTTGTGGGTGCTCCATCACTGGAGGCTTTTAAGAAAAGACTGGACAGCCATTTGTCCCAAATGATATAGGGTTTCCTGCCTGAGCACGGGGTTGGACTAGATGACCTCCAAGGCCCCTTCCAACACTCTTATTCTATTAAATGTGGTTAGTTATCCAGTGCTCAAAATGCAGTTACATAACTGCAGGGGGAGGGGGGAGCAGCTGTTCGAACTTAGGAATGGGTCGTAATTTTTTTTCCAGGTCTGTCATAACTTTGAACAGTCACTAAGTGACCGGTTGTATGTCCAGGACTCCTATAGACATTTTCCCCCTGCATTCAAAGGCAAAGCCCTTCCCGTGATTTTCACCAGCCTAGGCAGCAGCGAGGCAGCCCAAGCTTCACAACGAAGAACTGACCACACCGTTAAACAACAACAAGGCAACGTTTATGCAATTTAATCTTCACAACTATTTGGGGAGGAAAGGGACAGAGAACTACCGGGGATTCTTGGCTGAAGTGGAGCTGCACTAGATCCCTTTTTCCAGGGAAGAATTTTGAGGCCTTGCGTCTAAGCGATTTCCCGGAAACGATGGACGAAACGGGGAGACATCAAAAGAAAGGGCCGTCCGAAAAATCCATCAAGTGGTCCACATCCACCGTGTCCGTGGAGTCTTCCCAAACCACCACCGGCTCGCAGTCCTGCCTCACCACGGCGGATTGTCGACTCCGAGCATCGACAAACATATGAACTCTGCATTTCCATTTCTGGGAAATTGGGAGAATGGTTAGAGGAAGGAGAAAATGAGTTAGGGAATTGGGGATCCCAATCACACTTGTGGGTCCAATCACACTTGGCCAATAAAGAATTCTATTCTATTCTATTCTATTCTATTCTATTCTATTCTATTCTATTCTATTCTATTCTATTCTATTCTATTCTATTCTATTCTATTTTATTCTATTCTATTCTTCATTCCACTATTCTATTCTATTTCTATTTCTATTCTATTTCATTCTATTCTTCATTCCATTATTCTATTCTATTCTATTCTATTCTATTCTATTCTATTCTATTCTATTCTATTCTATTCTATTCTATTCTATTCTTCATTCCACTATTCTATTCTATTTCTATTTCTATTCTATTCCATTCTATTCTTCATTCCATTATTCTATTCTATTCTATTCTATTCTATTCTATTCTATTCTATTCTATTCTATTCTATTCTATTCTATTCTATTCCATTCCATATTTTCTATTCTATTCTATTCTATTCTATTCTATTCTATTCTATTCTATTCTATTCTATTCTATTCCATTCCTGATTAAAGATTCTCCTCCAGGCTTCTAACTCATGGGAAGATAAACCAACATGTGTCTAAAAACTGAGCAAAACAAAGCAACAAAAATTAAATCAATTCACATCACTGTGAACACTCTAAGTGTGTGTGTGTAAAAACTAAACCTATCTGGTTCTCAGCCGTATTGGTTCATAAGAACCACCCTTTCAAGTAATCACTGTAGTAGGTAGGATTAATGGAATCAGCTCTGCTCTATCAGCCACATACACTCCATCTTCAAAGATCACTGTAGATGTGATCTGGAACACAGTGGTGACTTCTTTGGTCTGATAAAGCAGAGCCCAGCGCGGAGAACTGGAGTAGAAAATACACAGATGGGGAAGGTCAGATTTGGAGAAGACAAACTCTTGAATTCTCCAGCTGTTTGCTCATCCACTCAAGCCACAAAAAATTAGCTTTCCCCAAAAAGGGATCCTGCAATTTGTCCTCCAGTTTGGGGTAGAACTGGGTTTTGACATTTCTTTCAAAGGAGATTGGGATTTGGGGGATTTGGGGTGCAAATTAGCTCTTTTATAGACACCACCCCCAAATCTCACACTCTGCGAAATCTCCTCCTGTCTTCCCCACAACAACAACTCTGTGAGGTGAGTAGGGCTCAGACAAAGTTACTCAGCTGGTTTTCCTGCTTAAGACAGGACTAGAACTCACCGTCTCCTGGTGATTCACCCCAAATCACCCAGGTGGCTTTCGTGCCTAAGGCAGGACTAGAACTCACCGTCTCCTGGTGATTCACCCCAAATCACCCAGGTGGCTTTTGTGCCTAAGGCAGGACTAGGACTCACCGTCTCCTGGTGATTCACCCCAAATCACCCAGGTGGCTTTCGTGCCTAAGGCAGGACTAGAACTCACCGTCTCCTGGTGATTGGCCCAATGTTATCCTGCCCAAAGTCACCCAATCGGTGTCTAAGGAGGGACTAGAACTCAGTGTCTTCCGGTTTCTAGCGTGGTGTCTTCGCCAGCAAACTGAACTGGCCCTATCAATATTGAAATTATCCGAACTGGACTTACAACCCATCTTCCCTTAAGCCAGTGGTTCTCAACCTGTGGGTCGGGACCCCATTTGGGGTCGAACGACCATTTCACGGGGGTCGCCAAACAACACAGTCCGTCATTTTTTCCCCCCTTTTCCTTAGCTGTGCCACTCCCTTTTATTCTATTGTATATATATATACATTGCTTACTGGTGTACATTGCTTAGAGAGTGCTTGCACTTAAAGCGGTATATAAGTCTCATAAATAAATAAATAAACAAACAAACAAATAAACAAATAAATAAATATTGGCTTTTGAAAGCCAATAGAATAGGCTCTCTTGAATAGAGTCTAATTCTATGGGCTTTCCAAAGCCAATAGGAATTGTCCGGGCTGTCTCTGCCCTGCTGAGCCCGCCAAAAGTCCCAGTCTGCAAACGGGGCTGCACCCGTTGAGTAATCCTCGACTTACGACCGGTTGAGTAGTCCTCGACTTACGACCGGTTGGGGGTCGCGGCATTAAAAAGGTTGAGAACCACTGCCTTAAGCTCTCTGAGCACAGAGGTAGGGGTGTTCCCTTATATCCTGTCCCCCGTCTGCCCACCGCCCCCCCCCCCATCTAGGGCAGCACTTCTACAAAAGCATTCAGTTGATGCTTCTGACGCTGGAGAGACAGAGATGGTCCTGGTTTGCTTAAAACTGAGGTCTTTTGTTCTTCTCCAGCTTCTTGGTTTCTTCTGGAATATTTCAGTCCGGGAACCATGGCAGAGACACCCCCTTACCTGCAGCCGGTACTGGAACTGGAGAGCCACTATGCAGACTTACAGACTGTGAAAGAATGCCAGCGCTACCCAGACGGGCGACCTTGGCAACAGGGTCCCACGGACGTGGGCTGTGACCTCACCTTCTGTTCCTGCTTGGGCAAAGCCACGCACAGAGCCGCTTTTGAGGATCGACGCCTGTACCACGGGACTGCAGACTCTCGGCCTTGTTCTTTGGTACAATTGGTGTTCACCAAAAATAGCGGGAAGCTCAGCATAGTGCCAACGGCGCTCTGGAAGAAGGATCGGAATGACAGAGTTGGAAGGGACCTCGGAGGTCATCTAGCCCAACCCCCTGCTCCAACAGGAGACCCTGTACCATTCCAGACACAGGGCTGTTCCAGTCTCTTCTTGAAAAACCTCCAGTGATGGAGCAGCCACAACTTCTGGAGCAGTGGTTCTCAACCTTTTTAATGCCGCGACCCCCCAACCGGTTGTAAGTCGAGGACTACTCAACCGGTCGTAAATCGAGGACTACTCAACTGGTGCAGCACCGTTTGCAGAATGGGACTTTTGGCGGGGGCCAAAGCAGGACAGAGACAGCCTGGACAATTCCTATTGGCTTTTGAAAGCCAATAGAATTAGACTCTATTCAAGAGCCAATAGAATAAAAGGGAGCAGCACAGCTAAGGAAAAGGGGGGGGAAATGGCGGATCGCGTTGTTTGGCGACCCCCGTGAAATGGTCGTTCAACCCCAAATGGGGTCCCGACCCACAGGTTGAGAACCACTGCCATAGACAATATCTCCTTGCAATGTCTAACTGCTGTTTCTTTTTTTTTAATTGAAAAGTTTTATACAAATTTTGATGCAATATGAAATCCCCCCCTACCTCCCCCCTCCCATACCCTCCCCCCTTACTTCCCAGAGCTGATTACAGGGTTTAAAAAAAAGAAACAAACAAACAAATCTAACTGCTGTTTCTGAACTGGCAAGCAATGTGTCATGGTTCCGAAAAGAAGCAGCTTTTCAAAGAACTTTGAGGCTTTATTTACCTTAAAGAATCCTTTTATTGCTACATAGCTTTGGCACGTACATAATGAAGCCAAAAACTGAATCCTCCCACCTTTCAATCACCCGTAACAAAGCATAACTCACTCCTTCATTTTACAGTCATCAATCACGTTCTCCAATTAGTTTGAAGTGTGAACTGTCCCTCCCGTAACTCCTCCGGTTACAGCTGACCTTGGCAATGCCGTACTGAAATATTGTTATGGTTAACTAGCATACTTTCCCACCCGCTAGGCTAGCGTTGTCTGCTTTAACTCTAGAAGTGATATGCAGGCTAAATAAAACATGTGTGCTTCTTCATATATGGCAAGCAAGACCATCCGATGTTAGCAGCCTTGACACAATGCACACCTGAAGGACTGTTCTTGGGACTCATTTTTGGAGTGGAAGCAGGCCAATGACAGGTGGATGGGTGCTAATTTGGGATAGGGCAGGGGTAGCCAAACTCCTCTCTGGACGCATAATCCATCATCCCCACCTGGGCCCATTTGCAAGGCTGTCCCTTGGGTTACCTGCACTTTGATATTGATATCTTCTATAGGTCTGTAGAAAGTATCAGGGTTGCGTTTGTTGAAGTAATTCATGGCTTGTTCCTTCAAGAATGTGAATTCAAAGGAGCTTTCACTGTTGCGCTGCATCCGTTCGCGATACTCCTTTGCGTTTTCTTCCAGTTCTTCCGAATTGGGTTCCTCTGGACCCTCTTTTGCCGGTTCTTGAGAAGTGGAGTTCTCTTTAGGGCAGCAACTTTTTTCTGGGGGCACTCCTGGTCCACAACATTCCTTTTTCTCCTCCTCCACCGAGGTCCCCCACACCAGGACACAGGCCAGGAACAGCTGAAGGCCCACCAGGGAACGCCTCATGATGGACAGGAGATGCACTGAAGGTCGAAACCGTGGGCTGGAGGGGGAGGCCCGTTGATATACCTCTGAAGAAGCCTCACCCTCCAGGAAGCTCCACCCTTGAATCCAGAAGAAGGCGTCCTTCTCAGGCTGGATCACTTCTGCTAAACGTGGTCCAAACAGAAGAGTTGGTCAAGCAGAACATCCTCGCCCGAATGTTCACCTTTTCCCTTTCTTCTCTTATTTAAACATTTCTTCCGACTCACTGGTGGAGGTTGAGTTTGACAGGAGGCTAAGCATTTCTGAAATTATACATCATTTTGCTTAGCTGTCTTCCATCTTCTGGGAAGAATCTCAGGCAAATTTATTTTTTTTTTGCAAGGCGCATTCAGAAGCACACCATCTGTCTGAATGGGCCTTTTCCTGACACTCCCCCCCCCCGCAGGTATGATTGATGTTTAGCTTGGAAGCTCATGCTTGGCAGGCTGGTTGAGGTATGATATAGCACGATCTCACTGTTACATTGTGCAGAAGGCCATGGTTAGGTGGCACTGCAGGTTGATTTCAAACTTTTCAAGATTTCTTGGAGAACGGTGGGATCCTTAATACTTTCTGAGCTCAGTTGTTTTCTTGCAGACATTTCATTACCAAGGTAATATCGTCAATGCATCGATTTTATTATCTTCTAGACTGATAATGAAATGTCTGCAAGAAAATGACCAAGCTCAGAGAGCACCAAGGACATCCACCTCATCCTCTCCACAAATCCCACTCTCTTCTAGCACTGATGAAGTTGCTTAGATGGGCTATGAAATGTCAGCAAGAAAACCACCAAGCTCAGAGAACGCCAAAGACGCCACAGTCCTTTTCCTTTCCTCCTCCTCCTCTTCTTCTTCCTCCTCCTCCTCCTCCTCCTCCTCCTCCTCTCCACAAATCCCACTCTCTTCTAGCACTGATGGGGTTGCTTAGATCAGGGCTTTTCAACCAGTGGTACGGGTACCACCTGTGATACATTGGCACCTGGCAGGTGGTACGTGACCATCCCAGAAAAGTAGTGGGGAAGGGAATGAGCTGAACCGGTGGCAGCACCGCACAAGCCTGAGAGAGAGAGGGCTGGAGCTGCAGGGCTGTCAGGGCTCAGCAGAAGTGCCAGGATCAGCGCTTCTTCGGCTGGAGGTCGGCGCTGATCCTGATGCTTCCGCTGAGCCATGCTGGCTCAGGAATTCTGGGAGTTGAAGTCCACGAGTCATAAAAGAGCCAAGGTTGGCTTAAGGGACAAATAATTCTGTTCACCAGGGGACAGAATGAACCTGTTTTATGGATTCACCCCATCCTTTAAGCCAGGAATAGGCAACCTTGGCTTTTTTTATGACTGGTGGACTTCAACTCCCAGAATTCCTGAGCCAGCCATGCTGAGGGGAAATTGAGAGGTTTCCAAGCTGTTTTGGGGGGCTATGTCTTAATTTCACCAAAATCTCTGAGGTTCCAAGAAGGCCAAAGTTTCAGATCTTTCTTCAGACAGTGAAAGGGGGACTTTTTCCTAATGTTGTATTCTAGAAAAGTATGACTCTAGAAAGATGTTGAGACTACAGAAAGAGTGCAGAAAACATGATTTGAGGGCTGGAGATTAAAACATACGAAGAACGGCTGCAGGAATTGGGTTTGTCTAGTTTAATGAAAAGAAGGCCTGGGGTGACAGGACAGCAGTGTTGGAATATTTGAGGGGCTGCCACAAAGAAGGGGGGGTGTCAATCTATTCTCCAAAGCACCTGAAGGCAGGACAAGAGGCAATGAATGGGAACTAATTAAGGAGAGACACAAACTAGAACTAAGGAGGAGGAGAGTGGTGAAGGAGAGGAGAGGAAGAAGAGGGAAGTAGGGAAGAGAAGAAAGGGAGAAAGAAGGTAAAGAAGAAGGAGTGTGGATACGGTGAAAGGGGAAATGGTCGAGCAACACCAAAGTTATGTGTATGTATTTATTTCATTTTGTTAAAAGTATCTGTATGTGAGTGTGGAGGGAATGTATGTTAATATCTGATAAGTATTACGGTATATGTATGGGGGAGAGTTTGAAAAAATAAAAAAATATTTAAAAAAAAAAACTAGAACTAAGGAGAAATTTCCTGACAGTCAGAACAATTACTGTAATCAGTGGAACAACTTGCCTCCAGAAATTGTGGGTACTCCATCATTGGAGGTTTTCAAGAAGAAACTGGAACAGCCATTTGTCCAGAATGGCACAGGGGTTCCTGCTTGAGCAGGCGGTTGGACTAGAAGACCTCCAAGGTCCCTTCCAACTGTTATACAGCTGCTGTTACCTTGTGTAATCTAGGAATGTGAGATCACAACAACCAGGTGAGTCAGCCACCTGGACTTCCAATCCCACTGGTGAAAGAAAAATCAGGCCCAGTTCCAAGCCGGGAGTAAATAAAATGGAGGCTGCTTAGAAAGAAGGTTCCAGTTTATTGAAGAGCAGAATCTACAACAGCATGTAGTTCTGGGACAGCTGACCCGGAAACACCTGCTATTGGTGGTTCTGCTCATCAATAAACTGGAACCTTCTTTCTAAGCAGCCTCCATTCTATTTACTCCTGGCTTGGAACTGGACCTGATTTTTCTTTCAACACCAACACACAGGAACACCCAGTTAGAAGAAGCCAGCCTGGCTGATTTGGGGTTTCAGTAGGACACTATCTAGCTCAGCGTTTCTCAAGCTTGGCCACTTTAAGATGGGTGGGCTTAGCTCCCAGAATTCCCCAGCCAGCATGGGAATTGAAGTCCATATATCTTAAAGTGCCCAAGGTCAAGGGACAGCCCTGATTGTGATGCAACCTCTCCAGCCTCCTTTCAACAAAGCAACTTTGTACACCTCTGTTGTTGTTGCCTGGCACGGCCCTTCCTGGCACGCTTCTCCTTGTGTCTTGTGTTCCCCCCAAGCATCAACTCAGGTCTTTGAAGTCAACCAAAATTAAGCCCAGGTCAGTGGAATGGGTAGATTTCTGAACAATTAAGAAGGGACACCATTGATTGGGATTTGTGTCGGCAAGGTTTTGGCAAGCGCATTATTTTGATCTGATGAAAGATATCCTGTTTCCAAGTGAGCCACAGTCCAAAGAAAAGTTCAGGTGGGTCACAAAGGGTTTGGCTGAAGCCAAAGTCAACCTGGCATTTTCTGCGGTTTCTGATGCTAAATGTCACTGCCCTTCAGTGTGGTTCCTTCTACAGCTGTCTGGCTCTGGTGTGCGGGTTGACCAAAAGGCTACCATAGACAATCCCTGATCGTGCTTTGTGTTCAAGCTCAGGGTGAAATGATGTAATGCATTTTCTCTTATAAAGCAGGTGTCCTGGGTAGCACAGACCTGTATGCCCTCCCTCCCTTCTTTTTTCCAACCTATATCCTTCCTTCTTTCCTTCCTTCCTTTCTTCCCTCCTTCCTCCCTCCTTCCCTCCCGAAAAGACCAGCCTGAAGATGACGAATGGGACTTCATTGAAACGTCGCCAAGACACTTCCAATTTTACACGAGAGAAAATCCGAATAATATATATATAAGTCACAGTAAAGACATCTGCCTGCAAAAGTTGCTCCTAGACTGGAGCGAAATGCCTGCAAAAGTTGCTCCTAGACTGGAGCGAAATGCAGAGCAGATTGCTTTGTATTTGGTAGACCGGGTGCTCCACCCAACATATATCCTCCCTGGATTCTGCTAACAGGCATGAGGGGGAACCTGTGGCCTAGAGGTTAATACAGCTACCTAACATGCAGCCTCCGTCATCTTCAGGCTGATGTTTTTGGCTTCGTGCTTCTAGGAGGAATTTGTGATCATAGCTGTTTCCTCCTTTTAACTGCCAGTGGGGGTGTGAACTGATTGGGTGGGAGCTTGGCTGTGTTGGAAAAAGTGAATGAGGGAGGGTGGGAGGGTGGGAGGAAGGAAGGAGATATGTTGGAAAAGTGAGTGAGTGAGTGAGTGAGGTGAGTGCGGAAGGGAAGGAGGGAGGAAGGAGGGAAGGAAGGAAGGAAGGAAGGAAAGAAGGAAGGATATAGGTTGGAAAAAAGAAGGGAGGGAGGGAATACAGGTCTGTGCTACCCAGGACACCTGCTTTATAAGAGAAAATGCATTACATCATTTCACCCTGAGCTTGAACACAAAGCACAATCAGGGATTGTCTATGGTAGCCTCTTGGTCAATCCGCACACCAGAGCCAGACAGCTGTAGAAGGAACCACACTGAAGGGCAGTGACATTTAGCATCAGAAACCGCAGAAAGTGCAAGGTTGACTTTGGCTTCAGCCAAACGCTTCGTGACCCACCTGAACTTTTCTTTGGACTGTGGAGCACTTGGAAACAGGATACCTTTCATCAGACCAAAATAATGCGCTTGCCAAAACCTTGCCGACACAAATCCCAATCAATGGTGTCCCTTCTTCATTGTTCAGAAATCTACCCATTCCACTGACCTGGGCTTAATTTTGCTTGACTTCAAAGACCTGGGTTGATGCTTGGGGGGAACACAAGACACAAGGAGAAGCGTGCCAGGAAGGGCCGTGCCAGGCAACAACAACAGAGGTGTACAAAGTTGCTTTGTTGAAAGGAGGCTGGAGAGGTTGCATCACAATCAGGGCTGTCCCTCGACCTTGGGCACTTTAAGATATATGGACTTCAATTCCCATGCTGGCTGGGGAATTCTGGGAGCTAAGCCCACCCATCTTAAAGTGGCCAAGCTTGAGAAACGCTGAGCTAGATAGTGTCCTACTGAAACCCCAAATCAGCCAGGCTGGCTTCTTCTAACTGGGTCTTCCTGTGTGTTGAAAGAAAAATCAGGTCCAGTTCCAAGCCAGGAGTAAATAGAATGGAGGATGCTTAGAAAGAAGGTTCCAGTTTATTGATGAGCAGAACCACCAATAGCATGTGTTTCCGGGTCAGCTGTCCCAGAACTACATGCTGTTGTAGATTCTGCTCTTCAATAAACTGGAACCTTCTTTCTAAGCAGCCTCCATTTTATTTACTCCCGGCTTGGAACTGGGCCTGATTTTTCTTTCAACAGTGGGATTGGAAGTCCAGATGGCTGACTCACCTGGTTGTTGTGATCTCACATTCCTAGATTACACAAGGTAACAGCAGCTGTATAACAGTTGGAAGGGACCTTGGAGGTCTTCTAGTCCAACCGCCTGCTCAAGCAGGAACCCCTGTGCCATGCTGGACAAATGGCTGTTCCAGTTTCTTCTTGAAAACCTCCAATGATGGAGTACCCACAATTTCTGGAAGCAAGTTGTTCCACTGATTACAGTAATTGTTCTGACTGTCAGGAAATTTCTCCTTAGTTCTAGTTAGTGTCTCTCCTTAATTAGTTCCCATTCATTGCTTCTTGTCCTGCCTTCAGGTGCTTTGGAGAATAGATTGACACCCCCTCTTCTTTGTGACAGCCCCTCAAATATTCCAACACTGCTGTCCTGTCACCCTAGACCTTCTTTTCATTAAACTAGACAAACCCAATTCCTGCAGCCGTTCTTCGTATGTTTTAATCTCCAGCCCTCAAATCATGTTTTCTGCACTCTTTCTGTAGTCTCAACATCTTTCTAGAGTCATGCTTTTCTAGAATACAACATTAGGAAAAAGTCCCCCTTTCACTGTCTGAAGAAAGATCTGAAACTTTGGCCTTCTGGGAACCTCAAAGATTTTGGTGAAATTAAGACATAGCCTAGACCAGGGGTAGGCAACCTTGGCTCTTTTATGACTTGTGGACTTCAACTCCCAGAATTCCTGAGCTAGCATGGCTCAGCATGGCAACCTCTCCCTTTCCTCTCAGCGTGGCTGGCTCGGGAATTCTGGGAGTTGAAGTCCACGAGTCATAAAAGAGCCAAGGTTGCCTATTCCTGGCTTAAAGGATGGGGTGAATCCATAAAACGGGTTTGTTCTGTCCCCTGGTGAACACAATTATTTGTCCCTTAAGCCAGAGGTAGGCAACCTTGGCTCTTTTATGACTTATGGACTTCAACTCCCAGAATTCCTGAGCCAGCCATGCTGAGGGAAAAGAGAGAGGTCTCCAAGCTGAGGGAGGACATGACAGCAGCGTTCCAATATTTGAGGGGCTGCCACAAAGAAGAGGGGGGGGAGTCTACTTATCTTCCAAAACACCAGAGGGCAGGACAAGAAACAATGGATGGAAACTGACCAAAGAGAGAAGCAACCTGGAATTAAGGAGAAATTTCCTAACAGTGACGACAATTAACCAGTGGAACAGCTTGCCACCAGAAGTTGCGGATGCTCCATCTCTAGAGGCTTTGAAGAAGAAATTGGACATCCATTTGTCTGAGATGGTATAGGTCAGTGGTGGCAAAACTATGGCATGCGTGCCAGAGGCAACACTCAAGAGTCTTTTTTGTGGCACACACACCACCACGGCCAGCAGCTTGCCGCTGCCCAGAGCGGCAACCCCACCAGGCATAAAGGAGGCAAAGCGGCCAGCTAGCAAGCTCGAATAGAGGTGTAAAGCATGCCCACACCTACTAAGCCAAAGGCCACCCTGAGCAGGGAAAACTGGATCCCCATCGGCGCTATGACCCCCCAGCCCCCCAGCTAGGTATCAACGCTGCAAATATTGTATATTCTTGCTTTTGATAATATGCAGAATTGTCTGGTAAATATGGGGTTAATAAAGAGCAGAAGGGGCATTGGGGGTAAAGCCCGGGAAAGAAAGAGGAAGAAAACATTTGACCTTCACACTAATTGGATAATGTGAGATATGACGGCTAATTTAGGGAGGGAACATGCTGATAATTTGACTGCTCAGAGGAAGAGAACTTAGATCCTAGCATCCCTCCCTTGTGCCTGTGCTGACATTTTGTAACAATAAAAGACTTTTAGGAAAATAAATGCCTGGAAGTTCTTTGGAATGTTTCATTAGCCGGAACCACAACACTAGGATTGCATGTCTCCCCCCCATCTATGCTGGGCCTCCTGCCCACCGCCCCACCCTCCAGAGACCCCCTGGATCTCCCCCAATCCTGCCTGGCCCCTACAGGCATCCCCCCCACACAGTTCATCATAGGGTTTAGCTTCCAGACTCTTTGTCATCGCACACATTCACACACACACACACACACACAAATTGAAAACACTGGCTCTCCATCATGCAGTTGTACAGCTCCATCCTTCAACCAGTCCCACAAGACCCAATAACTGAAGAAGAGGCAACACATAGCCAGATCTGTGCAATTTAATTTTATTCTCCTATTTCAGAACAAGGGCAAAGGCAGAGCTGTGAAGGGGATGAGATGGGAGCGCACTGGATTCCCTTCAGGGTGGGCGAGTCGGGAGGGTGGGTAGTTGCGTCTAAGTGATTATGCGGTTATGAGGGAAGGCAAAGGGGGTGCTTTCCTCCCAGAACTGAGCATCAGAAGGGGAGACCCTTAAAAAGTTTGGGAAATTGTTTAATTCCTGGGATTATAATGCAGTCCTGGCTGACGACAGCTTTCGTTTCGGTTCTCATGTCAACGAAGATACCAAAGGTGCAGTTGTGTTTCTAAAGACAGCAAAGAAAGAGTGTTAGAAAATGGGGGGCATTTGATAAGACCCTGGTGCTGGGGCTTTGGGTCAGGAAGCTTGAGAGAAGAGCTGGCCTGGTTTCAAACAACATGACTGGATCACTGGAAGATTTAGCTGCTAAATTTGCACAAGGCACCAAGGCTGCTTTTGGTCGTGGCGTTTTGTGGCACAGTTTGGTCTAGTGGTTAAAACACTAGGCCAGAAAGTAGGAGACTGTGAGTTCTAGTCCCACCTTAGGGATAAAAGCCAAGTGGATGACTTTGGGTCTATCACTAGGAGTTGGTGAGTTCTAGTCCCGTCTTAGCCATGAAAGCTACCTGGGTGACTTTGGGCCAATTGCTAGGAGACTGTGAGTTCTAGTCCCGCCTTAGCCATGAAAGCTACCTGGGTGACTTTGGGCCAATCTCTAGGAGACTGTGAGTTCTAGTCCCGCCTTAGCCATGAAAGCTACCTGGGTGACTTTGGGCCAATCGCTAGGAGATGGTGAGTTCTAGTCCCACCTTAGTCATGAAAGCCGGCTAAGAGTAAGTTGTTTTGGATATGTTCGCTGCCTTGGATTATTTGTCAAAATAATAAAGAAGCTCATGCCATTATTATTTATTAAATTTATATGCCACCCATCTGATTCTGTTGCATGAATCCAGGCTAAGATTTTGGTCAGTTTGGTCACATAGGTTGGATTCAGGCCTTACAGCGTCATCGCCATCCTGTGACATGGTGATGTGCTAATCATAGTTTATGGGAGGCTTGCGCCATTTCTGCTGCAGAAGAAGCACCCTTTCGCTTAAAATGAAATGTTTTGCCCTCTTCTTTATTTCCTGATTGTTCATTGCTTGTGTTTTGACACGCACGGGGAGTCCTCGATGTACCACCGTTCACTTAATGACCATTTGAAGTTACAACAGCACTGAAAAAAGTGACTTATGACCAGGGCTTTTTTTCACATAGAACGCCCAGAACGGAGTTCCGGCACCTTTTTTTAGATGGAACCTTGTAGGGTAGGCAAGGCGGGTTGTATGACGTGTGTGAGTTCTCACACCTTTTTATTTTTTTAGAAAAAAAGCACTGCTTATGACCATTTTTCGTAGTTATGACCTTTGCAGCATCCTCAGGGTTAGGTGATCAAAATTCAAACGCTTGTTCCCTTTGGCGACCCTCTGAAAAGCCAGATTCACTTAACAACCGTGCAACTGGAGCGATTCACTTAGCAACTGGGGCAAGGAAGGTCGTAAAACGGGACAGAACACATTTAACAACGGTTTTGCTCAGCATAGGAAGTTGTAAGCTTCCCTGGGGTCTTAAGTCGAGGACTACTTAACAACCGTGCAACTGGAGCGATTCACTTAGCAACTGGGGCAAGAAAGGTCGTACAATGGGACAGAACACATTTAACAACGGTTTTGCTCAGCATAGGAAGTTGTAAGCTTCCCTGGGGCCTTAAGTCGAGGACTACCTGTAGGGTTAGCTCCCTGGAGTTGGGCAGTTGTATAATTTTTAAAAACCAAAGAAGAAAGAGGATTTTGTGAGCTGGGCGGCCCACTAAATTTTCAGACCACCGAGTCTTATTCAACCACCCCCCTTTAAAACCGACTATCGTTCCGCTAGGCAGGGCAGACTGTTCGAGATTCGAACTCGCGACATTTACCTCCTGATTCGGTTGTGGCAGAAGCTGGCAACCCTCCTTCTCCAGGTAGGTTCTTGAATACTCCACGCCAGCCTCTTCCTCTTCGTTTTTGGTGCAGTTGGTCTTGCCCAAAAGCATCTTGACGTAGACCATGACCCCGATGGCTTTCTGGTGTCAAAGAAGAAGAAGAACCCACATTTCAGAACATTGATCGCTGCACCTGCCACTCGTCCTTAAAATCCCCAGGACGCTTTGTACCGCGTTGGGGTGAGTTCAGTTCGAACCCCCAAACTTTCTAGGGCTCGGTTACAGTTAAAGATGTAAGGGAGGCATTTGGATCCCTTACATTTGGCGTTTGGATCCCCCAAAGTTGTCCCGCATGTATCCGAATTTACAGCCCAAATGTTGGAGATGTGGAAATTTAGATGCAACTTATTTTCACATTTGGTGGATTTGTAGAGATATTAAAGCTTTTTGGATTCAGATCTGGTGGGATATTCAAAAGGTTTTTAAGAGAAAGAGAAAGTTTACTCCGCAATTATTTTTGTTGGGTATTATTGTAGATTTGGATGTTAAAGAAATTAGTTTAATGTTGAATCTTATAACAGCTGCAAGATTATTGGTGGGGCAATATTAGAAGAAAAACTCACTGCCTACTCTGGAAGAATGGATATTTAAGGTGTCTAATTTAGCAGAAATGGCGAAAATCTCCGCCTACTTGAAGGATCAATCACGAGAAAAATATATTACTGTTTGGAGAAGATGGATTGATTATATTGATTATATTCAAAAGAAATATGAAATTGATAAGTATTATCTAGCATATTGTAGATGTTAGATAATTATTAATAGTTTTAATTATATTTTTATTTTTGTTTTAATTTGTTAATATTTGTTTTGAAAAGGAGTTAAAGTGTGTTATGGTTTTGTTTGATACTATAGTTGGCTTATGTTAGACAGGTTATGTTTGTTTATTTGTTACCCTGTAATCAGCTCTGGGAAGTGGGGGAGGGGGGAAGGGGTGGGAGGGGTTTATATTGTAAAATTTTATAAAACTTATAATAATAAAAAAAAAGATGTAAGGGTGGGCTGCTTTGGAACATGTGCAGAGCGCCTTTCAGTCTCAGCCGTCAGGGAAGGAGAGTTTGCACAGTGTTTGCGCACACACACACAGGCGTAGAAAAGAAATAAATGTTGATGGAGAGAAGAAAACGAAAAGAATAAATAGGCTTTACATAAAAGTGATGAGAGGGAGGTGGAAGACTAGAAACCAGAGGCTTTGAGTTCTAGTCCTGCCTTAGGCATGAAAATTGAATCAAAATTCAAATGCTTGGCAACTGGTTCATATTGATGATGGTCGCCGTGTCCTGGGGTCACGTGATCCGCTTTTTGCAACCTTCTGACCAGCCAAGTCAAACCAAGAAGCCCGATTCACTGAACAACCGGGTTCTTAAACTAACAACTGCTGTGATTCACTTAACAACCGGGGGAAGAAAGATGGTAAAACGGGGCAAAACTCGCTTAACAACCATCTTGCTTACCAAAGGCAATTTGGGGCTCAGTTGTCGTAAGTTGAGGACTATCTGCAATAAACTTGTCTGAAATGGTATAGGTTCTCCTGCTCGAGCAGGGGGCTGGACTAGAAGACCTCCAAGGTCCCTTCCAACTTCTATTCTATTCTATTCCGTTCCGTTCCGTTCCATTCCATTCCATTCCATTCCATTCCATTCCATTCTATTCTATTCTATTCTATTCTATTCTATTCTATTCTATTCTATTCTATTCTATTCCATTCCATTCCATTCCATTCTATTCTATTCCATTCTCTATTTCACATTCTATTCTATTCTATTCTATTCTATTCTATTCTATTCTATTCTATTCTATTCCATTCCATTCCATTCCATTCTCTATTTCACATTCTATTCTATTCTATTCTATTCTATTCTAATCTGTTCTGTTCTATTCTATTCTATTCCATTCTATTCCATTCCATTCCATTCCATTCCATTCCATTCTCTATTTCATATTCTGTTCTATTCTATTCCATTCCATTCCATTCCATTCTCTATTTCACATTCTATTCTCTATTTCACATTCTATTCTATTCTATTCTGTTCTGTTGTGTTCTGTTCTGTTCTATTCTATTCTATTCCATTCCTTTCCATTCTATTCCATTCTCTATTCTATTCTATTCTATTCCATTCCATTCCATTCTCTATTTCATATTCTATTCTATTCTGTTCTATTCTATTCTATTCTATTCTATTCTATTCTATTCTATTCTATTCTATTCTATTCTATTCTATTCTATTCTTTGGTATGATATACTTAATTGTATGTTCCTTAATATGTAACACTTTGTAAGGACATAAAGTTATGGGGGGGGGCTTTGCTGGCCGAGTGTATTTCTGCTCACCTGAACCTCCACTTGAGCATCCTCCAGATGTTTGTAGTAGGCTCCATCGATTCCTTGGTTGTAGTAGGCAATCGCTTGCTCTTTCCTGTGGTGTCGCACGGCATCCATGCTTTGAGCTGCCAGTTCTGCTATGTCCCTCTGTTCTGCTTCTGCCACGTGCTTGTAATATTCGCTTGAGTCCGAACTTGCTTCTTCCGACTCTTCCAAACGGGGGTGTCTCTTTTTAGGACGCTTTTTTGCAACGTGGGGGTGCTTCTTTTTGTCGGCTTCTTCTCCTCCTCCATGGGAATGCCTCTTTTTGCAACATTTATCCTCCACGTGATGATGCCTCTTCTCGCAACAACACTGCTCTTCCTCGTGATGATGCCTCTTCTCGCAACAACACTGCTCTTCCTCGTGGTGGCACCTCTTCTCACAACATTCTTCCACGCAGCGATGCCTCTTTACACAATGACACTCCTCTTCGGAAGAACTCTCCTCCTCTTCCATGCAACATTTCCCTTTGGCCACAAGCACGGCCAGCAGCAGAACGCAGCCGAGAAGCAGCTGTAAACCCAGCCAGGACCTTCTCATGGTGGCCAGGAGATGCTGAAACAAGCCAAAGATCCTGGCTGGAGGATGAAGGCTGATATACTTCTCAGGAAGCCCTGCCCACCAGCTGGAAGAACCCATCTCCTTCCAGTTGGGCCCGCCCATTGGCAAAATCTGGGAGGAAGGACTGAGGTCCATCCCATGGTTCCATTGTCCCTCCAATCAGGGACCACGCTGGGCTTCTTCCTTCATCTCTACCACAAATTTGTGTAGTGGCAAGGCAGAAGAATAACAGAACGACAGAGTTGCAAGGAACCCTGGGGGGGGTCTTCTAGTACAGCGGCCCCCAACCTTTGGGGCACCAGGGACCGGTTCCGTGGGGAAAAGTTCTTCCATGGACCAGATGGGGGTCTGGTTTCACATAGTGCCTGCATCCTGTGGATGGGGCTTCACTTGTTTGCGTGGACTGGTTTCTGCCATGCTGCGGACTGGTGCCGGTCCACGGACCAGGGGTTGGGGACCCCTGTTCTAGTTCAAACCCCTGTTCAAGCAGGAGACCCTAAGGTGTCCTGCCTCGAGCAGGGGTTGGACTAGAAGGCCTCCAAGGTCCCTTCTAGTCCTAGAATTCCATATTCTATGTTCTAGTCGTGTGGTTTTTTTTTAAAGGGGGTTATTATCCTTGAGTGCCAGAGGTTATAGGTTGCGTTTTTTGGTATTTTTAATCCTGGCATGCTGCTCAGTCATTTGTATGAGGTGGGGGGGGGGACACAAAAGGAGGGGGGAGGGACATGGAGGGAGTGAGGGAGAGTTGCAGAGTTGACAGAGTTGAAAGAAGGAAGGGAGGGAGGGAGAAAACAAGGGGAGGGAGGGAGGGAGGGAGGAAGGAAGGAAGGGAGGGAGGGAGGGAGGAACATGCAGGGGGAGAGAGGAAGGAAGGAAGGAGGGAGGGAGGGAGGAAGGAAGGAAAGAGGGAGGGAGGAAGGAAGGAAAGAAGGAAGGATGAAGGAAGGAGGAAGGAGGAAGGAAAGAAAAGGAAGAAAGAAAGAAGAAAGAAAGAAAGAAAGAAAGAAAGAAAGAAAAAGAAAGAAAGAAAGAAAGAAAGAAAAGGAAGGAAGGAAGAATGAAGAAAGAAAGAAAGAAAGAAAGAAAGAAAGAAAGAAAGAAAGAAAAAGAAAGGAAGGAAGAAAGAAGAAAGAAAGAAAGAAAGAAAGAAAGAAAGAAAGAAAGAAAGAAAGAAAGAAAAGGAAGGAAGAATGAAGAAAGAAAAAGAAAGAAAGAAAGAAAGAAAGAAAGAAAGAAAGAAAGAAAGAAAGAAAGAAAGAAAGAAAGAAAGAAAGAAAAGACTGTTTATTTTCAAATTAGCTCAGAATTCTCTCCGCTGTGAGGTCCTTGGTGTTCTCTGTGCTGGCTGTCCCTGACCTCTCCCTATTTGAGGCCGAATTCTTTTTCATGCTTACCTAGCTGGAGATACTGTGATCTGAATACGGGGTTTTCTACACAGGAAAACGACACTTGGACACTGAGACAGCCACAGTCTTGTTCCTGGAGTCCTCCAAAAGTTCTCCCTTCCCTTCTGACCTCTTGACAGTGGATCCGTTTTCTTGGCCACCCTTCTCTGCATCTTCTGTGTTGGATTTGCCTTTAAACTTTCTGCCAATCTGATTTGGGGGCTTCTCCGATTGCTCCCCTCTCTCTGGACAGCATATTATTATTTCTGGCAAGGAGGCCCTTTCTGGGCCATGCATGGCCAGCTCTGGCCAGAATACTTTGAAGTCATTGAGGGCCGAGAAGCACCTATAGAACATTTGTTTTTTGAAAAAGATGCCAAGCATAATAAAGACAGTCAAAGCAGAACAATGAACAAGAGGCTTTATTTCTGAAAGCACCAATTCACCTGGATTTGACTTGGCAAAGATTTGCCCAGAGCAGTTTTAAGCACATTAGAGATGACCAATGCACAAATATCCCACTGGCCAAAAAAAATCTCCTTGACGTGGAAAAACATTGGATTATTCTCCAAAAGGCCGATTGTCCTCCATCTAGGGCAGTGGTTCTCAACCTTTTTAATGCCGTGACCCCCAACCGGTCGTAAGTCCAGGACTACTCAACCGGTCGTAAGTCGAGAACTACTCAACTGGTGCAGCAGCACCGTTTGCAGAATGGGACTTTTGGCGGGCTCAGCAGGGCAGAGACAGCCTGGACAATTTCTATTGGCTTTGGAAAGCCAATAGAATTAGACTCTATTCAAGAAAGTCTATTCTATTGGCTTTCAAAAGCCAATAGAATAAAAGGGAGTAGCACAGCTAAGGAAAAGGGGGGAAAAATGGCAGACTGCATTGTTTGGCGACCCCCGTGAAATGGTCGTTCGACCCCAAATGGGGTCCTGACCCACAGGTTGAGAACCACTGATCTAGGGGGTATGAAAAGACACCCATAAAAATCCCTGCTTAAGATGTCTATTCCAACATTCCTCCCCCCCCCCACCACAAGTCTAATCTTTTCATCCCTTTCCACCTGTTTAACCTTCCAGAGGGGTCAGAAAAAAAAATTAATCTTAATTTCTCTTTGTTGTTCTTCAATGTACTTCTCTGAGATATTTTAGGTGGGCGTGGAAGGCCGTGATAGGATTTGACATACAAACCAAAAGGACCAGATACATCATTGTTTCCTTTAAAAAAAAGAGAATGTCATTTTTGTCTACATCCAAAGTGCCAAGCTTCTTTATTAAACTTATAATTTAAATTTAAAGGAAAAAAAAAACCCACCACACACCGCCTAGAAGGATTGCTTTGGTAGCATCTAAAATCCTTACGTTGGTCTGATGGGACCGGTCAAGCAAAATCGACTTATCTCTCTTGTGTGTGGAATGAATATATTTGAATTTTGGTTTAACCCCAGGGAGAAAAAAACGGGAGAATTGGGTTTCGAAGGCTAATTCCAGGATGTCCCACCCAACGAAATCAATTGGGGGGTCAGTTCCGTGCATTAGAAGGGAAGGCACATGATTGGACCAAGGAAAGAGAATGTCATGGCCAACCGAGCCTTCTTTTAGGAGAGTGACATTAGACTGCCCAGCCTGAGATGCCTTCACCAAATGACCATCTACCTTTTCTGGTGTGTCTCCAGGGAGGCGGGGCTGTCTGAACTTGGGGGTGGAGCTACTGAACCTATATCAGTCAGTGCCCCCCACCCCCAGCCTGCCCATTGCTATACAGGAGTTGTGGTGTTGGCTTTGGCACCATGGGAGGCTGCTGGCAGCTGCTCTTTGCATGCTGCCTACTTGTCCAAAGACTTTCAGCAGAAGACAATTCAACCTCTGCGGTGAACCCAGACGAAGAGCTGGAGAAGAATATCGCGCAACGAATTGCTTCCCTGCGGGAAATGGGGCAGGATGAAATTAGCAACTTCACCGACTTAGCCTTGCAATATTATAACCAGCAAGAAGAGTCCATGTTTATACCTTTGAAGAACCCAACTGTGACGGTCAAGGTAAGCAGCCTCTTGAAGCCACTGAGATATTCTCCATATTCTGCTGATAGTTTCAGTGAGGATTTTAAGCATTGGGCCATTTAGCCTGTTTGCACCTTCTCACCCCACAGGAAGGATGGACGGTAATACCCATAATTCCCTGTCTTGTCAGTTTCTGAATTAGAGACCTTGCAGTCCAACCCAACCAGTTGAGGAACACTGTCATGTCCATTTACCTAAGAAATAGCTTCATATATATACATGTCATCATTTATTTTGTGGGGTTTCTGATTTCTTACCTGTCCTTCAGAAGCTCAAGGCAGTGTGCCTTGCATTCCTATCTCCTGTTTTTCTCATCAACAACAACCCTGAGAGGTAGGCAGGGCTGATAGGGTCTTTGACCCAAAGAGCAAGGTATTGTGCCTGAAGGCAGAGTAGAATCTGTATCTCTTCATCCCTAGTCCAACACCTTCGTTGATGCAACATTGTTTTTGATATCTCACCATTCATGTGGGACCTCAAGGCAGAATAGAGAGTGGAGGAAGGGGGACTTCAATTGCAGAGAAGAGTAACAAAGGTTACTGGAGACTAAAACATATGAAGAACGGCTGCAGGACCTGGGTTTGGCTAGTCTAAAGAAAAGAAGAAATAGGGGTGACATGATAGCAATTCCAATATTTGAGGGGCTGCCACAAAAAGGAAAGGGTCAACTTATTTTCCAAAGCAGGACAAGAAGCAACAGATGGAAACTAATCAAGGAGAGAAGCAACCTGGAATTAAGGAGAAACTTCCTAGCAGTGAGGACAATTCACCAATGGAACAGCTGGCCTTCAGAAATCGTGGGCGCTCCATCACTGGAGGTTTTTAAGAAGAGATGCTAGATAGTCACTTGTCTGAAATGGTATGAGTTCTCCTGCTCGAGCAGGGGGCTGGACTAGAAGACCTTCAAGGTCCCTTCCAGCTCTATTCTATTCTATTCTATTCTATTCTATTCTATTCTATTCTATTCTATTCCATTCCATTCCATTCTATTTCTATTCTATTTTCCATTCCATTCCATTCTTCTTCCTGTTTCTATTCTATTCTATTCTATTCTACTCTATTCTATTCTATTCCATTCCATTCCATATTTTCTATTCTATTCTATTCTATTCTAATAAGGATTAAAGGATGACATGGTACCAATCTTCCAATACTGGAGGGGTTGTGACAGAGAAAAGAGGATTGACTTAATCTCTAAAACACTGGTGGGCAGGACAAGAAGTAATGGAAGTTTCTTAAAGAGAGATCCAAGCTAGAATTAAGGAAAAAATTAATTCTGGAGGGAAGCTGTTCCTCTGATTAATTGTTCTCACTGTGTGTAAATTTTCATCGGGTCTAGGTTGCTTCTCTCCTTGATCGGTTTCCATCCATTGTTTCCTGTCCTGCCCTCTGGTGCTTTGGAGAATAGGTTGACCCCCTCTTCTTTGGGGCAGCCTCTCAAATATTGGAAGACGGCTATCATATCAGTGTTAGTGTGGTTTCATACTGTGCTGATGAGACCACACTTAGAATACTGTGTACAGTTTTGGTCACTAAAATATACAAAAGGGATGTTGAGACTCTAGAAAGAGTGCAGAGAAGAGCAACAAAGATGATCAGGAGGCTGGAGGATAAAACATATGAAGAACGGTTGCAGGAATAAGGTATGTTTAATTAATGAAAGAAGGACTAGGGGTGACAGAGTACAACCTCCAAAGCACCAGAAGGCAGGACAAGAGCATTGGATGGAAACTTATCAAGGAGAAAAGCAACCTAGAATTAAGGAGGAATTTTCTGACAGTTAGAACAATTAATCAATGGAACGGTTAATTCAGAAGCTGTTGATAGTCCATCACTGGAGGTTTTCAAGAAGAGACTGGACAATCATTTGTCTGGAATGAAATAAGGACTTCTGCCTGAGCGGGGGTTAGATTAGAAGACCTTCAAGATCCCTTCCAATCCTATTATTCTATGTTTTAGTCCAGACCTTACCACTTCGTCTCTCTGTCTGTGACCATCCTATGTTAAATAGATAATAATAATAATAATAATAATAATAATAATAATAATAATAATAATAATAATAATAATATTGCACAGACTGACTACAAGCAGTGGCATGACAAAGTAGCAACAAAGGTGCATTGGAAGATCTGCAAAAAATATCATTTGCCTGTAAACAAAAACTGGTGGGATCATAAAACAGAGAAAGTCATAGAAAATGATAAAATTAAACTGCTCTGGGACTTCAGAATTCAAACAGGCAAGCACCTGAAACATAACACCCCAGACTTAACAATTGTCAATAAGAAAGACAAAAAAGTCTGGATAGTGGACGTGGCAGTGCCTGGAGACAGCAGAATGGACGAGAAAGAACTGGAGAAGATAACAAAATACAAAAACCTACAAATAGAAATAGAAAGACTGTGGCAAAAGCAAGCAAGGGTAGTACCAATAGTGATAGGCGCCTTGGGTGCAATCCCAAAACAACTGGAGCACCACTTGCACACCATTGGCATTGACAAATTCGCTATTAGTCAATTGCAAAAGGCGGCCTTACTAGGAACTGCTCCCATCCTGCGACGATATCTGTAATACCATCAAACATCCACATCTGCCTATCCCAGGTCCTGGGTAAGGACTCGATAGGTAGACAAAATGCCAAATCCAGTCTGAACATCTGGCTGACTGTGCGATGATCCATAATAATAATAATTTGGGATGATTCTTTTCTTCTCCTGAATTACATCCTTGAGGAATTTGGGAGAGTCTTTTTAAGGAAGACTTCTATCCCCTGGAAAACCCTATATGAGAGGACACAGAGAATCAAATAAAGAAAAAGGCAAGAGTAGAAAAAAGGAAAGACTGGAGGAGAAATGGAAGACACCAAGACGGTGTTCTTGACTCAAAATGTAAATAGAGAGAAATGAACTACAGGAAAAGCAGACAGGGATAATCAATTGTCTAGTAACCAGTCACTAAACTATTGTTGGCTATGATTGGTTGCTTGCTGTGACCCCATTCACACATGGGATGGATTCACACAACCCTAAACCTGGTTTAGGTTTCCAAGTCACCGTGGGCAAACCAGAATCCTCCAATACGATTTACATTGATTCCAGGTTCACCCAACATTCCAAGACAAAGGGTGAATTCTGACACTGCATTAAACCCCAATCACCCCAGCCCCATTTTAGCCAATCCTAGCACGTTGTACAGTCTTAATTTCTGGAAAAAAAAGAGTGCTGTTGCATTTCTTCAAGGGTGTAATTTTGCCTGTTTTCCCGTGATTTCTTCATGGTGACAGAAGAGCACTTTTCAAACGCTGGGAGACGCTTCTGTTCATTTCCTGCTTGGAAGAAATCATTAAGAAATCAAGATGGTGGCTGTGATCGCACGCTTGTGGGTGACTTTTTTTTTTTTAAACCTCTCTCCCTAATGATTTGTACTTTGGGGAGCATCTCAGACTCAAAACACGCCTGATTGTTTTCCTAGAAAGCCATTGGATCGACATTGGACCTGCAGATGATTGTGGAAAGGACTAACTGCACCAAAAAAGATGTGAAACGACGTTTTAGGAGTCCCTTTGACTCTGAAGGAGAGCCCCCGAAATATTGTGTGCCGCTTCCCGACCCTGAGGTGAGAAAACAGGGCTTGGTCTTTCATTGGGCTGCATGGGAACCCCAAGCTGGGAAAACTCAACAGAGTTCTTAGGAGTAACTTCCAGCGACAGGATCCCCTGCAAATGTATTCTTTTTAAATTATTTTAGATATTGTAAAGTCCTGCTTTTATTGTTTTTCTAAATGACTTAAGACAAGAACATATCTATTAGTCCTTCTTCCTCCTGTCTTCCCCACAAGAACAATCCTGTAAGACAGTGGTTCTCCACCTGTGGGTCGAACGACCATTTCACGGGGGTCGCCAAACAACGCAGTCCGCCATTTTTTCCCCCCCTTTTCCTTAGCTGTGCTCCTCCCTTTTATTCTCTTGGCTTTTGAAAGCCAATAGAAGAGAGTCTCTTGAATAGAGTCTAATTCCATTGGTTTTCAAAAGCCAATAGGAATTGTCCAGGCTGTCTCTGCCCTGCTGAGCCCAACAAAAGTCCCAGTCTGACCGGTTGGGTAGTCCTCGATTTACGACCGGTTGGGGGTCACGGCATTAAAAAGGTTGAGAACCACTGCTGTAAGATGGGTTGGGTTTCTAGCCCGGTGTTTTAACTACTAGACTGTGCAACGTGCCTGTTAACCTGTTTTCTGGAGGTGGAACTCTGGATTTACACTCAATCATGCTTCCTTTTTTTTTTTTTTTAATCTAGAGCAGGGTTTCTTAAAGTTTGGTCCTAAGACTACACGAGGACCCAACATCTTCTCAGGGCTCTGTGAAATCCAAATTATTTGCTAGCCTAAAGTTGAAAAATAATACAAAACAGGTAGTCCTCGACTTACAACAGTATAACAGCTTAGTACAAGGGCACTGAAAAAAGTGACTCATGATCGTGTTTCACCCTTACGACTGTTGCAGCATCCCCATGGTCATGTGATCAAAATTCAGATGCTTGACAATTGGTTCATATTTATGACGGTTGCAATGTCATGTGATCCCCTTTTGCAATCTTCTGACAAGCAACGTCAATGGGGAAGGCAGAGTCACTTAACAACCATGTGACTTAACAACCGCTGTGATTCACTTAAAGACGGTGACAAGAAAGGTAGCCAAATGGGGCAAAACTCACTTAACAACTATCTCGCTTAGCAACAGAAATTTGGGGCCCAGTTGTGCTCGTAAGTTGAGGACTACCTGTAATGTACAGAAATGCATTAAATTAGAGAAAATTGGGTTCCAAACACAATGCATTTTGCAGCATGTTTAAATGCATTAAATTAGAGAATCCGGGTTCCAAACACAATGCATTTTGCAGCATGTTTAAAATGACGCTCACTTTTTTAGAAAAAAAACTCGCTCGAGGTTTTCAAGAAAAGATTGGACATTAATTTTTCCAGAACGATATAAGTTCTCCTGCCTTAAGTTTTGATTACACTATCATGACCACCTTAGAATCAGAGATGGAAGGGACCAAGGCAGTCATCAAGACCAACCTCCTGTGTTTTTATGTTTCCAGGCAAGAGTGATACTTATTTGATGTAAAGTCCATTGCAATTGTGATGGTTAGGACCTGGGAAGTTTTCTACTGCACATCAGACTTTCTCACTTGTTCCTTGGTTTTCCTCCCTCCCTACCTCTCCCTTTCTATTTTCAGCAACTGAACTGCAAATTTCACATTTTTAAAGATGAAAGGTCTTACAGCGAAGCTATAGTGGGCCATGACTGCAAGCCAATTAAAATCATCGATAAGGAGATTCTTAATGTTGAAGATACAAAATCACCATATTAGATGAAGCAAGCTGGAAAATAACCACACAAAGACGATGCCTACTGTCACCCCACCTATCGCTAGAATCGCTGGTAGCCTTCTCTTTCCCCTTTATCCTGAAATAGGAGAATAAAATCAAATTGCAAAGCTTTGCCATGTGACTGACCGGCTGTGTCTCTCACCTCTGCTCCTTGCAAGCTTCTCTTTCTTTCCCAACCATTGTCCCTGCAGGTCAACAGACCCCTAAACAAGATTCTTCATTGGATAGCATCTTAACTTCCAGGGGTTCAGCGGAGTTGACACATCTTGGCACGCCAACAATGGAAGGATTAAATTTAGACCCACACAGACCCACCCATGCAAGTTAGTCCTGTGATGGGGACTCTTACATCCGGTCAATCAATCCTTCTCATCCTTGCAATTTTCCATGAAAAAGAGTTGGAAGGGAGAAGTGGCTGAAAAAAAAAAAATCCCCAAGACGATGCATTATGGGTAGTCCTCGATTTATAACCATTCGTTTAGTGACGGTTTGTCAGCCATCCCAATTTGGTCAGTTAGAAAAAAAAGACTCTTGATTCTTAGTGAAAGTACACTTTGCTCAAGCCAAGTGATTACAACACAATAGAGCCTAATCTGGTTTTTCTACACCCAAAGCCTCTCTTCCCTTTTTCCCATATGCTGACATAAATTTAATCCGTTGGTCTCAAAAGTCAGTAAAAACAATGTTTACCACCACTGTGGATCTACCTGTGAGGAATTTCCACCCACTGTTTCTTCTCCTGCCCTCAGGGGCTTTGGAGAATAGGCTTAGGAAAGATTCCTATAATTTTATTAAACTTATCAGAGTACAAAATACAAAGACAATGAAAATCAATGACAATGAAAAGGGGAAAGAGGGAAGTGAAGGATCAAGGAGAAAAAAAAAAAAGACGAAAAACATTCACTTCAACACTCTTTTTCAGAACAGTAGAATGAACATAATAATGCCACAGCCGCAACATTTTTACTTTACATGCCAGTTCTCTAACAAAAAAACAAACATACATGCAGTAAATAATAATAATGCCACAGCTGCAACATTTTACTTTACATGCCAGTTCTCTAACAAAAAACAAATATACATGCAAGTAAATAATAATGCCACAGCTGCAATATTTTAGTTTACATGCCAGTTCTCTAACAAAAAAACAAACATACATGCAAGTAAATAATAATAATGCCACAGCTGCAACATTTTACTTTACATGCCAGTTCTCTAACAAAAAACAAATATACATGCAAGTAAATAATAATGCCACAGCTGCAATATTTTAGTTTACATGCCAGTTCTCTAACAAAAAAACAAACATACATGCAGTAAATAATAATAATGCCACAGCTGCAACATTTTACTTTACATGCCAGTTCTCTAACAAAAAACAAATATACATGCAAGTAAATAATAATGCCACAGCTGCAATATTTTAGTTTACATGCCAGTTCTCTAACAAAAAAACAAACATACATGCAAGTAAATAATAATAATGCCACAGCTGCAACATTTTACTTTACATGCCAGTTCTCTAACAAAAAACAAATATACATGCAAGTAAATAATAATGCCACAGCTGCAATATTTTAGTTTACATGCCAGTTCTCTAACAAAAAAACAAACATACATGCAAGTAAATAATAATAATGCCACAGCTGCAACATTTTACTTTACATGCCAGTTCTCTAACAAAAAACAAACATACATGCAGTAAATCCCCCAAACAGTTTCATTTTTTGTCTATTTCAAGCACAAAGTCCAGAAGCGGTTTCCAGAGAGAAATAACATTAGACATATTCCACAATCCCAGGAAGCAAAAGATGTTCCATTAATTGTTCTCACTATCAAGACATTTCTCCTTACTTCTATCTTCAACAAGCTTCCACTTCTTGTCCTGGCCTCTGGTGCCCTAGAGAATAAGCCCACCCCCTGTTTTTTGGGACAGCCCCTGAAGTTACTGGAAGACGGCTATCATGTCCCCCCTAATTCTTCTCTTCATCTTGGGGGCATATTGAATTTCATGAAAAATATTGAAGGGGAAATGGAATGTGCCAGCTTACCTGCCATCTCTAAAGGGGGGAGAAAGACCAGACCTGGGTTCTTTCCTTCCAAGATGGCTTCAGGTTGTAGGAAGGCACCCAGATGACTTCTAAACAATCTGGCCACGACAAAGACACCAATGGTGCAGAGCAGGGACAGGCTTCTCTCCCAGGAGTGAGGAGCTGAGGTTGGCCAACTGGGATGCTTTAACTGGTTTTGACAGAGGTGGGGTAAGGCTACATGGCCTTGGGGGCTCCTTCCAATTCTTCAGTCGGCCAAGGGTGTAAGTGAGCCCTGCAGAGTGTAGAAAGTCAGCACAGTCCCCCACCCCAGGAGAATGAAATATCTTGGGGAATATTAAAAGAGGCAGGACAAAATATTTCCCTTAAAGGAGAAATGGAGAAAAAAAACAAAGGCAGAGAGCAGCCCCAGTCTCGCTGCCATAAAAAAACAAAACAGCTTCAAACTTACAAACCTGAGAAGGCCAATCTTTTGAAATGGAGATTTGGCAATCCATTCAGAAAGACAGGAGCACACTATTCATAAGCAAAACACTTTCAGCCCCCACAGTTGATGGGATTAAGAATTTACATTCCCCCACCCAGCTCCAAGGACAGGACAGGACCTCCCAGCCAGGCAACAATAATTATAATACCAAAAGGACACACTCAAGCATAAGTCAAAGTACATTGCATGGGAATAGGCGTCTGAAATACAAAGCCCAAAGAAGGTATAAAAACCCACCCACTCTAAAGTCCATTTTGTCAGCTGTCCAAGAACTGCATGCTGTTGTTGGTCCTGCTCATCAATAAGCAGAAACCTTCTTCCCAAAGCAGTCTCCATTTTATTTCCAGCATCTTGCTTCCAGCTTGGAAGTGGACCTGATGTTTCTTTCAACAAGAGGTTCAGAAAGATAAGACAGGGGCATTCTCCGGCTTGGGGCTCTCACCGGCTTCACCCCCAGTACCAGGGCCTGGAGGCAGCCAGTTCCTCCTCCTTCGCCAAAGGGGAAGAAGCCGCCTTGGAACTCCGGATGGCAAACATGTTCTCTGTGTCCAGCAGAAACATGCTGTAGAGGTTGAAGAGCAACATGGCGACCAGGGGGAAGAAGGTCAAGCCGAATCCAAAGCCTCGGAACGAGCGGCCCATGGCGAATGCCACCCAGTAGAAAAGCCTGGAAGGGCGAGAAAGAAAGAAAAATGGTACAGAGCAGGACTGGGTCAAAAAAGTCAAAATGGCAGCCACAGTGGTGGGATCCACGCATCACATCCATTGTGTCCTTGTGGGCATCCATCAAAATCCCAAGCCAGCCTTTGCATTTCACAATAGCTATTCCAGTTAATAGATAACAGGATAAGAGAGTTGGGACCCTGGAGGTCTTCTAGTCCAACCCTCTACTCTGTACCAGACAAATGGCTATACAGTCTCTTCTTAAAAGCCTCCAGGGATGGGGCACCCACAACGTCTTATGTTTATGATTGTTATTTGAGTTGTGTTTTTGTTAATTTATGTTATGTTTTTGCAGGATTCCCCCCACTTTAGAGGGCAAGACTGCTGAGCCCTGCAACAACCACCCTGTGAGGTAGGCTGGGTTGGATTCTCACCGCACAAGAGACGAGGCATTTGTCAGTTTGGGGTTTCTTGTCTTAGCAAGCGGTGGCAAATCCTGTGGAAGCGGAGTAGAGATGATGTTATGCGAACCCAACCACTAGGCTTTGCTGTACTACCGTAGCCATGGGGGGGAGGTAGGTCTTGAACTGGTCCCAGTCCAACCTTTAATAACTAGCAGTGGTGTGTGTGGTGGGGGGGAATACACTCTGTATTCCAGCCTCCCGCAAAATCACAAAGACACAGTGAATTTTTAACACATCAAAACTGTTAATTGATGGGGATAGTTCACAAAGATGGTTAGGTGTTTCCAGGAAGGCTTCGTGGACCACACGAAACCACTTCGCAGGCTGCATCCGGCCCCCTGGCCTTGTGTTTGACATGGTCTGCCTTAGCAACTGTGGCCAGAAAGGTCATAAAATGGGGCAAAATTCACTTAACCAATGTCTCGCTTAGCAACAGAAATGGTTGGGCTGAATTGTGATCAAGGACTACCCGTACATAACTTCTTGAATACCTTACAAAATCGATCACGTTGTTATGGTTCCGGCTAATGAAACACTTCAAAGAACTTCCTGGCATTTATTTTCCTAAAAGTCTTTTATTGTTACAAAATGTCGGCACAGGCAGAATGGAGGGATGCTAGGATCTAAGTTCTCTTCCTCTGAGCAGTTAAATTATCAGCATGTTCCCTCCCTAAATTAGCCGTCATATCTCACATTATCCAATTAGTGTGAAGGTCAAAGGTTTCCTTCCTCTTTCTTTCCCGGGCTTTACCCCCAACGCCCCTTCTGCTCTGTATTAACCCCATAATTACCAGACAATTCTGCATATTGTCAAAAGCAAGAATATACAATACTTGCAGCGTTGACAAACACATCTTCATCTTATTTGTATCATGTTATCATCTCTTCTTTCCATACATCTTCACTGCTGTTATCCATGTATTTTATGCCATACGCTAATTAAATAAATAAACTGTAGGTCATATATCTGCATAATGAGCCTGGTTTTCTCTCTCTTCCTCTTCCCTCATTTCACCCCAATTTAAACCCTCCATCAATTCAGCCCAGTATTATTCAACGTTAGTAACTTGAGGATGGGTGAACGTTAATTTCCAGAATTCCCCTTGCCAGCACAGTTGACTGGGGAATTCTGGGAATTGACATCCACCCACCTTCAGGTTGCCAAGATTGAGAAACACTGGCCCAGGGTATCTGATGAATTGTGTTGCAGCTCAGAAAAGTTATAAAATCTTAATTAGGAAAAAAAAACGCCACCAGACTCCATCGGATTCTTTTTGCCACCCAAAATGGCTGCCATCCTCCTTCCCCCAAAAATATATTAAACCAACTGTACTGTCAACATGATAAATGGAGATTTCCCAACAATCCGTATTTCCATCTTAAAATTAAAAAAATATATATAAAAAACAGGAGTCTGCTGACAGATTCATCTGACGAACAAATGCCAATACATTTGTCAGTCAAATTGGCCCCTTGAAGGGGGGGGGGGTGGAATTCAACTCCCAGAATTCCCCAGCCAGCATGCTTTAAACATGCGGAGCTCAGGTCTGAACAGGTCAGGCTGGTTGGGGAATTCTGGGAGTTGAAGTCCACCCCTCTTCAAGGGGCCAAGGTTGAAAAACAAGGTTAAATGATGGGTGAATAACAGAATAATGAAGTTGAAAGGGACCTTGGAGGTCTTCTAGTCCAACCCCCTGCTCAAGCATTCCATTCCAGACAGGTGGCTGTCCGAAGTCTTCTTAAAAACCTCCATTAGAACTGCTCGGACTTCAAGTTAATGGTAGAATTAAAAGATATATATAACTTTACATATAATGGTATATATAATTGTATTGTATAGACCAGTGGTTCTCCACCTGTGGGTCGGGACCCCATTTGGGGTCGAAGGACCATTTCACGGGGGTCGCCAAACAACACAGTCCGCCATTTTTTCCCCCCTTTTCCTTAGCTGTGCTCCTCCCTTTTATTCTATTGGCTTTTGAAAGCCAATAGAACAGACTCTCTTGAATAGAGTCTAATTCTATTGGCTTTCCAAAGCCAATAGGAATTGTCCAGGCTGTCTCTGCCCTGCTGAGCCCGCCAAAAGTCCCATTCTGCAAATGGTGCTGCACCGGTTGAGTAGTCCTCGACTTACGACCGGTGGAGTAGTCCTCGACTTACGACCGGTTGGGGGTCGCGGCATTAAAAAGGTTGAGAACCACTTGTATAGAAGGATGAGGCTTATATAGAGGTTAAGAGTGATGTATTAAGTTTTTGTACCATGAGAAACAAACTGTTAGGAAAATTCATTCTGGAATGTCATGTTTGTCCATTTTTGTTTTAATTGTATTATGAATAAAAATTTAAAAAAAAAAACCTCCATTGATCCATCAATCAGAGTGGAGCTGGAAGGGACCTTGGAGGTCTTCTAGTCCAGCCCCCTGCTCAAGCAGGAGACCCTTTGCCATTCCAGACAGGTGGCTGTCCAGGGTCTTCTTAAAAACCTCCAATGATCCATCAACCAGACTGGAGCTGGAAGGGACCTTGGAGGTCTTCTAGTCCAACCCCCGGCTGAAGCAGGAGACCCTCTACCAGACAACTGGATCCAACCCCGAGGAAGGGTCCAGAAGTGGGAGGACTCTTTCTCCCTTACCGTGAGATGGCAAAAAGGGCGGTCAGCAGCGGGATAAGCTTGAGCCACTCCTGGGGCAGGTAGGTGGAAAGGACGCTAATGTTGAAGAAGTAGAGGATGAAAAGGTTGACCGACTGGGAGACGAAGTGCCGGTGGATCTGCACCTCCCGGCCCAGCTCCTCAGAAGGCTGCAGGGAGGAGGCACAAAGGAGGGACACTCCGTAAACCATCATCCCTGCAGGGGAAGAGAGACAGGAGAAAGCGGTCAGGAAAGGGTGACTTGGGGGTCTTATAGTCCAACCCCCTGCTCAACCAGGAGACACTATACCAGTGGTGGCGAACCTATGGCACGGGTGCCAGAGGCGGCATTCGGAGCCCTCTCTGTGGGCACACGTGCCGTTGCCCCAGCCTCGCCTCCCCCCACGACCCCCTCCTCACCAGCAGCCATATGCATTTTCTAAATAAAGTCAAAATAAAGGGGAATATCTGGAAAAGAGCCCAAGTGGCTTACAGAATTTAGCTGGCTTTCCTGCTTGCAGGGGTGGTCAAAGAGGGCAAGATGGCCAGCATCGCGATGTATTCAACAATGCAATAAAAGGTGGAGGTGGTTTTTTTTGCTTTTGGGGGGGGGACTGCATGTGCAGATTTCCTGGCCTGTGAAGAGAGCTTCAATGGAGCCTCTCAGCAGCCCAGGGGAACGAGCGATGGGTCTCCAGGCTGGCAGTGAACGATGGCTTCCACCTCCCTGGCACCTTCTCCTCCACGGCTGGCAGATCCCGCTCACCTAAAATGATGGGGAAGGTGGCAAACGCCCCGCAGCGCAGCGTGTATACTAGCCGGGCGCTCATGTCCTCCATGGGGGGCACGTCGAAGGGCAGGAAGACGTAGGCGCTGTAGAGCAAGCCTGGGAAGACAACCATGGAGCTACTCATGGAGCCCACGGCTTTGAGGTTGGCCGAGCTGCAGCAGCCCTTCGACCGGCAACACGGGGTCTGGGGTGGTTCCCCAGCAGGACCGGGCGGTTCGTGCAAATAGGCCGAGCAGCCTCCGACGAGGAAGGTCTGCTGCTCAGAGTTGTCCTTCTCCTCCTGGCACTCTGCCCTGTCCTGTGGCGGCACTCCCAGCCGCCACGGCTGCTTCTTACGGCTCCTGGGACAGCGTTCAATGCAGAAGGGGTCGATGGGGACGAAGGTGTGGGCCGCCATGGCGGGCATCCCACTGCCCTCGTCATCCTCAAAAGGCCTCAGGAAAGCCTGGGGGTCCATGGCGGAGCCCAAAATGGCTGCCTTCATGCTCCCCTCCGGGCTCGGCCGGGCGTCCTTCTTCAAAACCTCGGACATCTCTCCGGCTACATCCTGTTGGGCTTTGTCCCAGGGCAAAGTGGCCTCTGCGGTGTCCGAACTCGGCTCCTGGCTGTGACTTTGGGCCAGCTGCTCAGGGGACGAGTCCTTCCCCAGGGGCACCATCGCCACGTCTTCCGAAGGAGCAACGGCTGACATCTTTGACTGTTTTAGAGAAGTCTGTTCCGTATCTGTCGAGCTTTTTTCCTGCTAAATCTTTGCAGTCTCCATTCCTTCTTCTCCAGAACCGGATAGCGGGAAATCTTGGGATGTGCTGCACCCGGTTCTCGTGCTGCAAAAGGGATGGAAACATATTAATGAACTGGTTTGGAGACAGCCAAAGAATACAGAGCCTTGGGTGGTCTCAAGGCCTCACCACTGAACAAAAATTTGCAAAAAGCAGCACCAAGGAGAGAATTATAAAAAGATCAATACAGGAACTAGCGTTCCATATTAAAGCTTGAAAGGGGAATTATCCATTTTAAGGATTTTAAAACCGTTTTGAAACAAAGATGCTGAGACTCTGGAAAGAGTGCAGAGAAGAGCAACAAAGATGATTAGGGGTCTGGAGGATAAAACATACGAAAAACGGTTGCAGGATTTGAGTTTGGCTAGTCTAGTGAAAATAAGGACCAGGGGTGACATGATAGCATATTTGAGGGGATGCCACAAAGGGGGGGGGGAGTCAGCCTATTCTCCAAAGCGCCTGAAGGCAGGACAAGAAGCAACAGATGGAAACTAATCAAGGAGAGAAGCAGCCTAGAACTAACGAGGAATTTCCTGTTGGTGAGAATAATTAGTCAGTGGAACCACTTGCCTCCAGAAGCGGTGAATGCTCCAACACTGGAAGTTTTTAAGAAGAGACTGGACAGCCACATGTCTGGTCTAGGGTCTCCTGCTTCAGCAGGGCGTTGGACTAGAAAACCTCCAAGGTCACTTGCAACCCTATGACTCTATGAGACAGATAAGAAGATAGACAGATTGATATAGATGAAAGATAGATGATAAATGATAGAGATAGATGATAGACTGATTGATTGAGATAGATAGATAGATAGATAGATAGATAGATAGATAGATAGATAGATAGATAGATAGATTTAGAAGATGATATAGATGATAGATATAGATGAGAGGTAGGTAGATAGGTAGGTTGATTGATTGATTGATTCCTGGAGTTATGAGTGTTCCAACTCTGGAAGTTTCCTGGACAGCCATTTGTCTAGAACGGTGGTTCTCCACCTGTGGGTCGGGACCCCATTTGGGGTCGAACGACCATTTCACGGGGGTCGCCAAACAACGCAGTCCGCCATTTTTTTCCCCTTTTCCTTAGCTGTGCTACTCCTTTTTATTCTATTGGCTTTTGAAAGCCAATAGAATAGACTCTCTTGAATAGAGTCTAATTCTATTGGCTTTCAAAAGCCAATAGGAATTGTCCAGGCTGTCTCTGCCCTGCTGAGCCCGCCAAAAGTCCCAGTCTGCAAACGGTGCTGCACCAGTTGAGTAGTCCTCGACTTACGACCGGTTGAGGAGTCCTCGACTTACGACCGGTTGGGGGGTCACGGCATTTAAAAGGTTGAGAACCACTGGTCTAGAATAGTAAAGGGGGGACTGAACTAGAAGACCTCCAAGGCCCCTTCCAGCTCTATGATTCTGATTCTAAACCTCTTCCGAATCCAAGATCAGATCGGGCAGGGCTAAGCAGCCACGCATTTTCACCAAGGCAGGGCTTGCTTGCCATTTAACAAATATGAAATCAGAATCTAGTTCAAGCAGAAAATGATGGTCCTAGATTGCTGCAAAACTGGTTTGCTGAGCTAAGATGCGGTATATTTAAAGTTATTATTGTTTTCATTATTATTATTATTATTAATTAGAGTACCACAAAGCACAATTTTCAGTGAATGGGTTTGCACCACGCCGAGAGCCAAAACTGAAGTATGTAATGGTGTTCTGCACCAAAATGTAGTAATATAAAGATGGTGGCATTTGTGTACTGACGTCATCGCACAAAGCTGCCATTCGGTGAACCTTAAACCTAAGAGACCAAATCTCACCAAACTATGAGTAGTCCTCAATTTACAAGCACAATCAGGACCAGGAGTTTCGTAGCTAAACAATCTGGTTGTTAAGTGAATCACGCCTGATTTTGTAACCTTTTTTCCGCACGGTTGTTAAGTGAATCACTGCAGTTGTTAAGTGAACTATGTGGTCATTAAGTGAATCTGGCTTTGCATTCTTGGAAGCCAGTCAGAGGGTTGCAAACGGTAATCGCAGAGCCCAAAACTGTTACGTGCTGAATATATGCCTGAATTTTGATCACATGACTCTGGGGATGCTACAACAGTCATGTGTGTGAAAATAAGTCATAAATCATTTTTTCCCATGCCGTTGTAAATTTGAATAGTCACTAAACAAACGGTTGTTAAGTTGAGAAGTACCTGTAAAGCTATAAACCTTTAAGGTCCTACTGTAGATGCATCCTGAGAGATTGTGAGGTATGTTTGGGACTATACAATTTCTTAATTTGGTGTTACTTCCTTGGTCACTTTAAGATGTAAATACCTCAACTCCCAGAATTCCCCAACTAGCCAACATGGCTGCCTGGGGACTTCCGGGAGTTCCAACATGGCTGCCTGGGGACTCCTGGGAGTTGAAGGCTACTTGTCTTAAAATGACAGAGGTTGAGAAACACTGAAGTACAAATTACAATGTTACTGTGTTACTGTAACTGTTAAGTTAGATGCTTGTTAATTTAATAACCGTGTTGGGTAATTCCTTGGCAACAGTATAAAAGTGGTTTGTCATAGGTTTCTTCTGAGATGTTTTTTCAGCTTCCACATCCGAATAATAGCCCATTTTGACTCTTTTCATTTTGATATCAGAGTTTGCCTCCTGCTATAAAATCAAGAGGAACGTAACCGCCCCTTTTTCAAAGCCAGTAGCACATTTTATTGAACAAAGTTTTATAACTTCGTTTTATTTCATCAAATGTGATTTTTCTCCTACTGTAGGCTAAGACGCCTCTCCTCCTACACTAACTGTTGTAGAACTGTGTTAAACTTTCCCGTCAATTAGGATTTACTCCATTAGCTGTGTGGAAGCTTACTTTAAGTTGCTGGACTTCATAAATCTGGTTCTGTATTTTTATACAAAGAGACCGAAATGTAAAGGTTTATATGTGTTATGCCCAGGGCTTTTTTTCTCACAGAACACCCAGAACGGAGTTCCGGCACCTTTTTTGGATGGAACCTTGTAGGGTAGGCAAGGCGGGTTGTGTGACGTGTGTGAGTTCCGGCACCTTTTTTTTTTTTTTTTTTTTTAGAAAAAAAGCACTGGTTATGCCAACCCCTAGTACGATCTATTTGGCATGTTTGGTTTAGCATGTTGCACCAACCTATCCATTATAGCTTAAATATCGTTTAGTTGGCTGTGTGCATCCAGGCAACTGTGGTTTCTTATGCTAATCATGGCTAAACAAACTACATGAAATAGGAATCCAGACAAACTCCTAATACAGGACTCTGTTCTGGCCTAGCATAATGTGCAAACAAGTCATTGTGGTTAATTTTTTTTTTTAAAAAAATCCTTGGTTAACATACCTGAACCCAACAGAGAAAAACAACACAAAGTTAAAAACAGCACGCAACAAACCAAAAAAACGCATTTGAAGCAAGTAACTATAAAACTACACATCTGTATAGTAGTATTTAGCCCCACTCCTGATTTAGCCCACAACACCAGGGTTAAAGGGGGGGGCAGGGAGCAAAGGTACTGTTAGTCCTTGACTTATGACAACTGAGTCCAAAATTTATGTTGTTAAGTGAGACACGTGCTAAGCGAGCTTTCCCCATTTTACAACTTTTCATGCCAGGTTTGTTAAGTGAATCACTGCAGTTGTTCAATTAGTAATATGGTCGTTAAGTGAATCAGGCTCCCCGGTTGTCAGAGGGGGAACTCAGTTGCCGAGTGTCTGAATTTTGATCACACGACCCTGGGGATGCTGCCACGGTCATAAGTGTGAAAAACAGGGTCATAAGTGTGAAAAACAGTCGTAACTCACTTTTTTCAGTGCCGTTGTAACTCCGAACACTCTGCGGTGGTAAGTTGAGGACTAAACCTGTAGTTGCAGTTGTGTTTGCACACTTAACTCAGCTATTAGATCAACAATCTTTCTGGATTTGCACAACACGCTGAACCGATCCGGGCTTAAAAAACGATCCGAATTGGGCGGAGCGCAGCCCAAGTACGCCCAGTCGCCAAAAAAGGCAGAAACCCAACCGGTTGAGCTCCGGGAAGGCTCCCACCGCCTCGGGGAGGGAAGACCCGAAGGCACGCAGGAAAGCCCCAAAGAAGCCCGATTCGAGGGGCTGGATCGACCCTCTGCCGGGCAAAGGGAGAGAAGCCCTCCGCCCCTTACCTGCGTTCTCCTTTCTCGCGCCTCGCGCGCTCACTTTCTCAGCCCGGGACGCGGAGGAAGGGGGTGGGAGTGGGGAAGGGGAGATAAACCGGAGTGGCTTCAGATGCCGGGAACTTCCGCGAGTTTGTCAAGGGCGCCACTTCGCTTTCTGCCTCTCCGTCCTTTGGACTCTCAAACCTGTTTGACCAGCCCAGGTGGAGCTCCGCGGGAGGAGCTGCGGGGGCCGCTCGGCTCAGCCCGGCCCGCCCGGTTTCAGAGTTGGGGAAAGAGGCAGAGGCATACACACACACATAAAACACACACACACACACAAGGGGGGAGAGGGAGGGAGAGACACAGATACAGAGACACAAAAACGGGGGAGAAAGAAGGAGGAACAGACACATGCAGTCTCTTTCTCTCTTCTTTTTCTCTCTCCTCTCTCTTTTCTCTTTCTCTCCTTTTCTCTTTCTCCCCTCCTCTCTCCTTTTCTTCTTTCTTTTTCTTTCTTTCTTTCTTTCTCCTCCCCTCCTCTCTCCTTTTCTTCTTTCTTTCTTTCTCCTCTCTCCTTTTCTCTCTCTTTTTTCTTTCTCTCCTCTCTGTCTCTCTTTCTCCTCTCTTTTCTCTTTCTCTTTCTCCTTTTCTTTTTCTTTCTCTCTTCTCCTTTTCTTTCTCCCCTCCTCTCTCCTTTTCTTTTTTCTTTCTTTCTTTCTTTCTTTCTCCTCTCTCCTCTCTCCTTTCTTTCTTTCTTTCTTTCTTTCTCCTTTCTCCTTTTCTCTCTCACTTTTCTTTCTCTCTCTCCTTTCCTTTTCTCTCTCTTTTTTCTTTCTCTCCTCTCTGTCTCTCTTTCTCCTCTCTTTTCTCTTTCTCTCTCTCCTTTTCTTTTTTCTTTCTCGCCTCTCCTTTTCTTTCTCCCCTCCTCTCTCCTTTTCTTTTTTCTTTCTTTCTTTCTTTCTTTCTCCTCTCTCCTCTCTCCTTTTCTTCTTTCTTTTTCTTTCTTTCTTTCTTTCTCCTCCCCTCCTCTCTCCTTTCTTTCTTTCTTTCTTTCTTTCTCCTTTCTCCTTTTCTCTCTCACTTTTCTTTCTCTCTCTCCTTTCCTTTTCTCTCTTTTTTCTTTCTCTCCTCTCTGTCTCTCTTTCTCCTCTCTTTTCTCTTTCTCTCTCTCCTTTTCTCTTTTTCTTTCTCGCCTCTCCTTTTCTTTCTCCCCTCCTCTCTCCTTTTCTTTTTTCTTTCTTTCTTTCTTTCTTTCTCCTCTCTCCTCTCTCCTTTTCTTCTTTCTTTTTCTTTCTTTCTTTCTTTCTCCTCCCCTCCTCTCTCCTTTCTTTCTTTCTTTCTTTCTTTCTCCTTTCTCCTTTTCTCTCTCACTTTTCTTTCTCTCTCTCCTTTCCTTTTCTCTCTCTTTTTTCTTTCTCTCCTCTCTGTCTCTCTTTCTCCTCTCTTTTCTCTTTCTCTCTCTCCTTTTCTCTTTTTCTTTCTCGCCTCTCCTTTTCTTTCTCCCCTCCTCTCTCCTTTTCTTTTTTCTTTCTTTCTTTCTTTCTTTCTCCTCTCTCCTCTCTCCTTTTCTTCTTTCTTTTTCTTTCTTTCTTTCTTTCTCCTCCCCTCCTCTCTCCTTTCTTTCTTTCTTTCTTTCTTTCTCCTTTCTCCTTTTCTCTCTCACTTTTCTTTCTCTCTCTCCTTTCCTTTTCTCTCTCTTTTTTCTTTCTCTCCTCTCTGTCTCTCTTTCTCCTCTCTTTTCTCTTTCTCTCTCTCCTTTTCTCTTTTTCTTTCTCGCCTCTCCTTTTCTCTTTCTTCCCTCCTATCTCCTTTTCTTCTTTCTTTCTTTCTTTCTTTCTTTCTCCTCCCCTCCTCTCTCCTTTTCTTCTTTCTTTCTCCTCTCTCCTTTTCTCTCGCTTTTGTTTTTCTCTCTCCTTTCCTTTTCTCTCTCTTTTTTCTTTCTCTCCTCTCTGTCTCTCTTTCTCCTCTTTTCTCTTTCTCTCGCTCCTTTTCTCTTTTTCTTTCTCTCCTCTCCTTTTCTCTTTCTTCCCTCCTCTCTCCTTTTCTTCTCTCTCTCTCTCTCTCTCTCTCTTTCTTTCTTTCTCCTCTCTCCTTTTCTATCTCGCTCTTTTCTTTTTCTCTCTCCCTTTCCTTTTCTCTCTTTTTTCTTTCTCTCCTCTCTCCTTTCCACTTTTCTCTCTCTCTCTCTCTCTCCCCTCCTCTCTCCTTTTCTCTCTCCTCTCCTCTCTTTCTTCTCTCTCCTCTCCCCCCCCCCTCAGGCATGCAGGCATATTGACCCAAATGCCTTATTTGCCACCTGGGCTTCCCCCCCACTCCGTCTCAGCCCAGATTGGCCACTAGAAACCAGCTCAGCTGTTCCTGCAAGTTTAAAACTTTGGCACCCCACTACACCAAAAAAAAATATGAACTCTTGATGTTAAGTTTGGCTGATCCTTTATTCTACAGAAAGTCTTCAACGTAGGACAACTGAGCCCAAAATTTAGTCGCTAACCAAGACAGTCGTTGAGTGAGTTTTGCCCCATTTTACCAACCTTTCTGGCCACAGTTGTTAACTGAATCACAGCAGTTGTTAAATTAGTAACACAGTTGGGAAATGACCCCTGAGGTCCCAAAAGAGGATCACATGACCTCAGGATACGGCGACCATCATAAATATGAATCTGTTGTCAAATGTCTGAGTTTTGATCATGTGATCCTGGGGAGGTTGCAACCGAGGACCCATTTGCACTGCAGACGTTCGCCCATCCACTCCTGTTGGGCATCAATCTGCTTTGCTGGTGACTCATTTCTCTGTTATTTCCCTTCTGAATTAATCCTCGGTGGATCCTTTAAGCCAGGGGTAGGCAACCTGGGCTCTTTCGTGACTCGTGGATTTCAACTCCCAGAATTCCTGAACCAGCCATGCTGAGGGGAAAGGGAGAGGTTTCCAAGCTGAGCCAGGCTGGCTCAGGAATTCTGGGAGTTGAAGTCCACAAGTCATGAGGGGGCCAAAGTTCCCCCATGCTGGCTCAGGAATTCTGGGAGTTGAAGTCCACGAGTCATGAGGGGGCCAAAGTTCCCCCATGCTGGCTCAGGAATTCTGGGAGTTGAACTCCACGAGTCATAAAGCGACCTAGGCCTAGGCCAAAGATAGGCAACCTTGGCTCTTTTATGACTCGTGGACTTCAACTCCCAGAATTCCTGAGCAGCCATGCTGAGGGGAAAGGGAGATGATTCCAATTAGACTCTATTCAAGAGTGTCTATTCTATTGGCTTTCAAAAGCCAATAGAATAAAAGGGAGTAGCACAGCTAAGGGAAAGGGGGAAAAAATGGCGGACTGCGTTGTTTGGCGAGCCCCGTGAAATGGTCGTTCGACCCCAAATGGGGTCCCGACCCACAGGTGGAGAACCACTGTCTTAAAGCATGCTGGCTGGGGAATTCTGGGTGTTGAAGTCCACAGATCTTAAAGATGCCGAGGTTGAGTACCTCTGCTTTTTAAGTCACTTAACAAGTGTCTTGCTCAGCCACAGAAATTTAGGGGTCAGTTGTGGTCACAAGTTGAGGACTACCTGTATACAAACTAAAAAGAAACAGCACAGAAAGAAAAAGGAATGGGGAGAGAGAAGGAAAAAAAAAATGCTTCACTTCCCATGACTTCTTCTCTATAACTCTTGTGCTAGAATTCAGGAACTTCCTATTTAACAATGGAACACAAAAATCAGAAGTCCAGGGGCACATTTCCCACTCTGACAAAATTTGCAAAAGTCTGCAATTTGCAGAACTCGTGAACTTTTCAAAAAGGAATTTAAGGAAAGCGTCTTCCAAACCCGTGTTACTTTGCAAAAGGCACTGCCAGACTCCAGATTTTTTTTCCATTTAGGGATATTTGAATGGTCTGTTTCCTGTCCTGGCCAAGCCAGGAACATAATTAATAGAGAAATGATTAATGGAACAATGGCAACAGGAGCAGCAGGAATTCCACTGAATGGAAAGGTTGGCAATCTGAGTGTGTTTGTTTCAAATGACCTGAAAGGGCTCCGAACAGGTTTAAAGGGGCAGGCAGTCCTCAAACCCTGCCCTGGAAGCCAGGGTTATTTCCTGCAACTATTCAGCCACTTTGCTTCCTTGTTTTTAAGAAGTTGTGAAAATGGGGGGGGGGGGTTAATGAATTGAGATTAACTCTTGGATGCTTATCTTTGCCTTCCATTATAATGGGAATTTCTTTCATATGCCGTTTCCTTCACCCAGCATTAAAATGGAAATAATTACGAGGGAGGACATGATAGCAGTGTTCTGATATCTCAGGGGCTGCCCCAAAGAAGAGGGAATCAAGCTATTCTCCAAAGTGCCAGAAGGCAGGACAAGAAGCAACGGAAGGAAACTGATCAAGGAGAGAAGCAACCTAGAACTAAGGAGAAACTTCCTGACAGTGAGAACATTAACCAGTGGAACCACCTGCCTCCAGAAGTGGTGAATGCTCCAACACTGGAAGTTTTTAAGAAGAAACTAGACAGCCATTTGTCTGAAATAGTGTAGGGTTCCTGCCTGAGCAGGGGGTTGGACTCAATGACCTCCAAAGTCCCTTCCAACTTTATTATTTATTATTATTATTATTTTATTATTATTATCATTCATCGCACAGTCAGCCAGATGTTCAGACTGGATTTGGCATTTTGTCTACCTATCGAGTCCTTACCCAGGACCTGGGATAGGCAGATGTGGATGTTTGATACCTTGACGTGGTTGTGGGGCTTGTGTACTCTGAGGAAGATGAGAGCTATGCCAGAGGTTCAACCATACTGGACAGGTCTCATCAGAGGAGTCAGACAAAGAGTGTCTCTCCCATAAAAAATATGGTGAGACGTAAATTGCAGAATGCCATACCGGCTCGGACGTCGCCCGGGTTAACAAGGTCCGCACTAGATATTGGAGTTCCTGGATATCTGGTGAAAAATGGGTTACAGGACTCAGGACTGTTGGCTGAGCAACCAGGGCCAGCAGCTGCAGAACTACTGGAAGAAAAGGTGTTTACCCGTCGCAGATACACAGTGATGGAAAACAAAGAAATAATGATCTGTTACTACAGATCAAGCCCAACAAGACGAGGATATCTAAAACGAATGCACGAATTCTGGAAAGAACAACATCCAGAATCAGAAATAACAGAACAGAGACTAGCAGATCAACGCCGATTTACCAATAGTCATAGGCTCCTTGGGCGCAATCCCAAAACAACTGGAGCACCACTTGAACACCATTGGCATTGACAAATTTGCTATTAGTCAATTGCAAAAGGCGGCCTTATTAGGAACTGCTTCCATCCTGCGACGATACCTGTAATACCATTATTAATATTATTATTATTATTATTATTATTATTATTATTATTATTATTATTATTATTATTATTATTATTATTACTGTTGTTGTTATTGCAATAT